TTTCATACTTTCAATCACTGTTGATAAGGAATCACGAAATGCATTATCACCTAATGCGATAGATTGCAATAATGGTAGATCTATTGAAATCATTCAAATATTCAATATCATATCAATACCTCGAATCACAAATGAACTAAAATAGAAATTGTATGAGTCACTTCCAATTGTACCAATTTCTATAGATTGTAATTTTGGTAGATTCTTCAATTCAAAGTCGCCTCCAAAATCACTGAAACTAAATTGGCCGATTTGAATGGATTCCAATGATTCACAATTCAATATATGGAATGATTTTGATTCATCGTTTCCTTCACTATTCTTTGTCTGAGTGAATGAATTGTTTCTAATTTCGATAGTTTTCAATCGATTCAATCCATCGATTTTGAATGTTTGCACTGACGCAAAACAATCATTACCGATTTCGATTGATTCAACTTGAGTAAATCGAGAGAAATCGAATGTCGTGAAATCAGTATTACTGCAAGTCCAATTAGGTATAATAATGGAAGTTGTGCAAGAATCAAGTGATTGAATATAGTCAATGTTATGTATTTCATAAGGAAATAGTAATTGAGAAACATCTAAAGTCAAATGGAATATATTATTAATAATTACTGTTTATTACAGAATATGTCATATACTCGAATGAACGAGGTAGATTTACATATTGTGGATTTGGAATATCTTAATATCATCAATATTCAGTATCTTAATTTACTTTCTAATATCACTGAACGAGGATAACGGAAGCTAGATCCTTGAGAATCGAGGGATGTTAGATTTGGAAGATCTATAAAGCAAATCATTTACAATCATTTCATTCATACTTCGAAGTGTCAAAGAACATGATTCATCTTTTATACCAACAAGTGCATCTTCACCGAATGTAATAGATTGTAATGATGGTAGATCTATTGAAATCATTTCATTTAAAATCATTTCATACTTTCAATCACTGTTGATAAGGAATCACGAAATGCATTATCACCTAATGCGATAGATTGCAATAATGGTAGATCTATTGAAATCATTCAAATATTCAATATCATATCAATACCTCGAATCACAAATGAACTAAAATAGAATGCATTATCACCTAATGTAATGGATTGCAATAATGGTAGATCTATTGAAATCATTCAAATATTCAATATCATATCAATACCTCGAATCACAAATGAACTAAAATAGAAATTGTATGAGTCACTTCCAATTGTACCAATTTCTATAGATTGTAATTTTGGTAGATTCTTCAATTCAAAGTCGCCTCCAAAATCACTGAAACTAAATTGGCCGATTTGAATGGATTCCAATGATTCACAATTCAATATATGGAATGATTTTGATTCATCGTTTCCTTCACTATTCTTTGTCTGAGTAAATGAATTGTTTCTAATTTCGATAGTTTTCAATCGATTCAATCCATCGATTTTGAATGTTTGCACTGACGCAAAACATTCATCGCCGATTTCGATTGATTCCAAATTATACAACAATGAAACATCCCAATCAACCAATACACAATTGTCACTCAGTTTCAAATGTTTCATTCCGATATTCAGTGGCTTGCTTCCATCTCCTTCATATTCTTCAATATCACATTCAATTCCATTATACCATTCACATTCTTTCACTTCCCGACCTTTACGATCATATATTATTCCATTTCCGTTATAATTATCATTACACCAATATCCTTCATATTCAATACATCCATTATTATGATAACTCGTTCCATATCCAAATCGTTTCCAATTGATCATTATGCCCTTGTACACCAAGAATCCATCATCATCATACATTTCACCATATCCAAATGGAATTCCCAACTTGTTTTCTGTCAATATCAATCCTTCAAATCGACTTCCATGATCCAAGTCCACGATTCCTTCTTCTACTACTTCTATGGACTGTTCTTCACTATATGAAATATCACCAATTTGATGATTTCCAATCACTTTTAACACTTTCTGATCATTGAACACAAATCCTAGATTCATGAATACTCCATTATTGAATTGCAATACCACAAACTCTCTATTACCCAAAATGAGTGAAATCCAGCCATCCACTTTCATTTCTTGATTCAAGCATGCATGTACATTTTGGATTGTGGAACTATCAATATGATAGCTGCTAATAGCAGCTTTGACAAAATTGTAAATATTACTCATTGAAATATGAAAAACATGTGCAATGCTATAAACCCAGTCAGAAACAATCTAATTATAATACAATAGAGATATGGAATATATGTCGTAATTCATAATGACTTTCATAGTGAGAGATGCTCATATAAAACACGATTCTCTCACTACCTAGGATTGCAACATTATATGTATATTATGAATTTAATATTTGCTGTACCAGTTCACACCGCAGAAATACGATTCCTGGTTATGTTTCTGTTTCATGTTTAAGGAAATATGTATTTTTCAATTCAAATATACTAAAACAACAGTAATTATACGAAACATGATTATGCTTACAGTTTCTGTTGTTACAAAGTAAAGAATTCTTCACACTAATACCAACATACAAGTGTCTTTTCCTTTGTTGGCAACATAAAAACAGTAAACAACAACGATATAAAAAACAGTGCGATATTATTCACATTATACTGCAAATAATACCCCAGCTAAGTAGTTTCATGTTGGGAATGTATTGGATTATAGAATGTAAGTAGTACGAATCACTACTACATCTATCAAATACTTTTCAAGTGCTGCATGTTCGTTATTCCTCTGGTCCCATTCAGATTCAACAATATTACAGCTCTTATTAGCTATTTTGTAAGTTTTTGTGAGTTATTGCATACATTATCATATACAAACACTAACAAGCATGAGGTAATTGAGCAGTATATATTTTCATTTCAGGTAATCACATCATAAATGATCTCTCACACCAATATGTTTAAATATCAGCGATCCTCTAATTTTCCTTCTGTCAAACATAATTGGATCTTGGCATATTATTCAATAACACTCAATAATCGTATCAATTCTTCTGAATAAAGTGCGCACTCCTCTCAATCAACTAAGCAGTTGCTATAAACCAGGCTGGCTGGATGCTGGAGCCTTCCTCTACAACCCATAATCAATCAATCGCTCCTGCAGGTATAGGATTTGATTCCTTTCCTTTAGAAACGTCCACAGTCTTTCAGACATCGGAAACTATTGGATAGTTTGTAACCCTAACCATTCCTTTTCTATTTAATGGGTCTTTGGTATGTTTCCCTTCTTAAGAAACATTAGTGGATCTTTTGTTGTCAGATCGTGTATTCCGAATCTAGAGGTCTTCCTCGTGACAACATCAAACAATCAAAATTCAAATTAAATTGAACTAGAAAAATTCTTCTTCATCATCAATAAAGTCCATCTCTCGTCGCTTTCGATTATGCTCACTGCGAATCCGTTTTTCCTTCATTCGCTTCTCTTTTACAAATGGATCTTCCACTATGGTGTTAACCATGTTTGCAGCGCAAAAATCTACCTGTAGCTCCTTCTTTACGTCGTTTAGTGATGTAAGCATGATTTACTTTCTTTTGAAGCTTTTTCATTCCTTCGACGCGATTTGCCACCAGAGATCGATGCAGAGAGGACACTAATACGAAGTTACCCTCTGCATCAATATGGCTAGCCTGTTGTTCTTTGAAAATTTCTTTGATATCACTAGTACATGATCAAGCAATAAAAAAAGAAAAAACTCTGGCATCCAAGAAGCGCTGCCAACATTGAACGAAAGCATTACGCGGTTCACACTACTCTTCTCAGAATTCATATCTACAGATTCACTCTGTCTAGAATAGTTACCATCAATTCGACCTTGTCTTCTCACATCAATATGAATTTTATCTTCCGGTACCGTGATGAATCCTTTAGGTAAGTTAATAGTTGGAGTCTTTGATCCAAAGAAGCGTATCAAGAGAGAATTTGGATTGAACGCGCTTCCTAGGCAACATGGAGATATAAATCGAGTTGAAGGAATAAAGAATCGAAACATCTTGGCTTGATATTATGGAGATTATTCATACCGCGGTTATGTCCATGTTATTGATTGATTTATTTTAATGAGAAAAATCTATTGATTTGACTCGAAATAGAGATAGATTCACGAGTATAATATAATATCCATTGGGTAAGCAAACTTGATTACATAATAGCTTGTCAATGCCCTTCCATGAATAACATCACATATAGAGATTGTTAGAGAACAAACATATATATAATTATGATTAAAATTATTCCTCTTTCTCCTTATCACATTCCAAATGTTCGTTAAATGCACCAACAACATACACAATGATCACAATATTCACAGTTATCACAGCAGCAATTGCTCTACCATTTTAACACTCTTCCCCATTTCCTACGAGATTGTCAATATGGTGTTCGAGTTTTTCATTCCAATCACTATTCATAAGCAAGAAAGCAAAAGAAAAGACAAGGCAGGATGACTTTCCAAAGAAGGACCATTACAACTATCGGGTATATCAGCATCATGCACGAAAAGGAGGCTAACTTGTTGAAAACGGTCTTATTTCCAGGAGCCGCCAATCTGCGCTATTACAAGCAGAAATATAGTACAGATTCTCTATCTGACTCTTTTGCATCCTAACTGAGCAATGAGAAAAGATTGGAAACAAACAATAAAATCATCCCAACCATCTACTTCGACTTCTTTTTCTGCACCATTCATTAAAAACGCCGCAACATCATCCACGTTCGATTTATGCGTCTCACCTGAAGTCTCGACGGTAACTACACCCGATTGGCCTTGTTCACTAAATTGACTGGAATTTTGGACTAAAGAACTGCCTCCTTCCTCTTCTCCTTTGATAGCCTTCTTCTCTCCCTGATCAGACGGAGTAGACGCGGTCTCCGCAGTGGCTGGAGTTGGAACCTTCTGTTGCTCCTTCTCCTTCTCCTCCTCGTTCTTCTTTTTCGTCGTGCGGGCTTTTCGCGATGGTTTCTTGGCCGTAACTTCCTTCTTCTTCAGGTTGGGATGCTTCTCATCAAAATGGCGTTTGCGAGATTCTTTTCGCTCCTTTCCCAGAGCCAGCTGCCGATTATTCAGTGTGGTCAGATGAGGCAGCATTTCGTGGATTCTCTGGTTCACTCGCTCGTACACCTGCTCTTGATAGCCTTCTCCGTAGAACGTATTCTGAGCCACATTCAACTTTGATAGGAACTACAAATCACTGCTGGCCGCCGCAAACTACCGGGAGAGAACTCAGAATCGCTAAGGATTCGACGTTTTCTATCAGATTGCTTCCGATATCCAGAAGGGTGAGATGGCTCAACTGAGAAATTGCATCGGGGATGGAAGAGATTTTGTTGCCGTTGAGATTCAACTCTTTCAGGGAGGGAAGCTGGAACACTGGAGGAAACTCACGTAGCTTGTTATGCCCCCTACAATGATGAATGGAGTGGGATGTATAGGCTACAAGGACAATTTTCGTAACGAAGTCAGATTCTTGAAGGCATCTTCGGGAATCGATTCAATGTTGTTGTTTGAGAGAACCAACGTGTTCAATTCAGTAAGAAGGCTCGCAAAAGCAAACGACTCGAGCTTGTTTCCGTTCAGAAGTAAGCATTTCAAGTGAATCATCTTGGCAAACGCAAAATCAGGAAGCATACCAATTCGGTTATTCCCAAGATTTAAAAAGACGAGCTGCTCCAATGATAATATTCCACGAATACCCTTCCCAGAAAGTTCATTACTGCTCAGATTTAAGTAGGTTAATCCTGTTAATGTTTCAAGACTCTACACAATCAAAATACCAAAAGCAGAACTCACTCGAACCGATTTTAGTTTATTACCAGATAGGTCTAAACGGTTTACATGCTCCAGATTCGATAGCTGACCAAGCGTCTCAATTTCGTGGTTTGATAGCTTCAGCATTTTTGAGCCAGTGTAGGTTGACAGATCATCTCTTATGAGTTGAGCAAGCGAGCTCTGATCCAGTAGGGGTACACTCACATTTGGCTCTTCTGTAGTAGGAACTGCCACTTCTTTAGCAGAAGTTTGTTCTTGAGTTGATGGCAGGTCTGTAGGTGTTGCGGTTGGTTCGTAAACAGCAGTATTCTTGGTATCTTCAGCATTTTTAGGGTGTTGTGGGTCGTTGCTGCTCGCAGTACCTTTCGATCCCTTCTGTCCTTTGGGTCCCTTGGGTCCCTTCTGTCCCTTCTGTCCCTTCTGTCCCTTGGGTCCTTCTTGACCCTTAGGTCCCTTCTGTCCCTTAGGTCCCTTAGATCCTTCTTGACCCTTAGGTCCCTTAGGTCCATTCGGTCTCCCTTGACCCTTAGGCCCTTTAGGTCCCTTAAAACCCTTAAAACCCTTCGCTTTCGTTGAATCTTTTGAACCCATTTTACCCCTTTGGCCGTTAACTCCTTTAATATCATTTTGGACGTTAGAGCCTTTAAAGTTTCGAGGAGACTTTGCCATTTCCCCCACATTTGGCTTGCTCTGCTCTTTTTGTTCCCCTGTACCATCTTGTGTTTTAGGCTGTCTAGAACCTTTCTGACGATCCGATACTTTTGACGCTTTCATAGTTTTCGATGCTTTAAACACTTTAGCTACTTTCGGCGCCTTTTCTGTCTTCGACACGTCAGAGGCTTTTGACGGTTGCCGGTTGTTCTTCATTATAACCTTTCTGCTAAAAACTCGAGATGCGAAGAATTCTGGAATTCCAGAATCCGCGACCCAGACTCACGTCGGAATCTTGATCTCGTTCCATAGAGATTTTTATTGCATGAGATACTCTGAATGAGGATCCATGTTCTGTCGTGGAAAACCCATTTTCTTTAGCTTTCCATCCTTAAATAGTATTAGGAAACAAAAATCAAATATATAATGTCTGACGATTTTTTTGCTGATGGTAAGTAGATCTTACTCTTTTTGTGAGACATTTCAATGGATTCTGCTTTTGTGCGGAATCTTTTTGGTTTTGGTTGCGGAATTTACGTATCTAACAGTGTTTTAGATTTCCAAGAGACGAACGCCGCTGAGCAGCCCGTTGATGTTTCTTTTGCTGTCTAGGTAGTTAATTTGTAGGATCCTTTTGCCGACGCTCCTGCTAATGAGGGAGAGCAGACGGAGGATCCTTTTGGAGACGCTGCCCCTGCTTCTCCCCTTCCTGCTGCTCCTGTGGTGGATGAATTCAAGTTTACCCGCGAGTGGAACATGCAGTTCAGAGAGAGATGCGAAGCAAAGGATAAGGCCGCTCTGGAAAAGAAGCAGGAGATTCTGAAGGAGGCTAGAGACGCTCTTCTTGCTTGGAACGAGGAGAGAGAGAAGAAGCTGCACGCAAAGGCAGAGATGAATCGCGAGGAAGAGGCTAAAATAATTGAGGGAAATAAGGAGGATTTGAATTGTGCTAATCCTTGGGAGCGTGTGAGCAAGCTCATTGAACTAAATGCTGAGGGAGAGCACGATCTTAGCAGAATGAAGCAGGTTTTGATCAGAATGAAGAATGATGCTGCTAAGATGTAAATCTTTATTTGTTTGTTTTACACCCACTCCCATGAAGCGAGGGAGGGAAGAAGCGGACGAGGAGCTGAAGCGCTTTGAACAGTTTTGTCGCCAATTCGCTTACAGTCCTGAAAAGTCTGTAAAAGTCAAAAATCCGCCTCCCGTAGAAGAGGAAAAGACCCAGAGTGAATTGGAAGATGCACCTTTTGTTGCTCCCTACCCTAATCGATATCGAGAGAAGTATTCCTCTCCTTGTCCAAATTGTTTTAAGAATAGGTTATAACGACTGAACTGTATCATTCCTAGCCTAGTATGCCCTCACAACCAAGAAAAGCGACTACGGCTGTTGATTATCGGGCATAATCCCTCGGAGCATGCATGGAAAAACGGAAATATGTACAGTAACCCAACGAATCGTATGTGGAAGATTCTCACAGGAACATTTTGTGAGGGGAGCGAATATAAAGTATTTGAAAACGACGGAGCACAATGTTTAGGGAGTCATCGACCCGTCTATGACTATTGATGACCAGAATCAACTACCATCTAGATATGGCATAGGTTTTACGGATCTAGGCACTGTCCCAGGAAATCAGTCGGACAAGTTTACAAAGCAGGAGTTGGCTCAATGGAAAATTGACCTGTATGACCGACTAACCCGGCATTTGGGCCGTGTGTGTAAACAAGAACACAATGATCCCAAAGTAGTGTGATGGAGCCTGTAGCCACGTTCTAGTGCTCGTTACTCTGCCATTCCCCTCGCATCGTTCTGTTTTCCGGAAAGAAGCAATTCGTTGATTTGTTTGCAAAGCCTCCCAAGGTTGCAATGGGCTTTCAGCAGGTGCTTCCTGACGACTGGCCTCTTTCGCCGCAAATCAAGGTGTATGTTTGTCCTAGTTCAAGTGGTCGGGTCGTAATGAAAAAGGAAGATATAATGAAGTACTATTGTGAAGTCTTTGAAGCCTATAATTCGTTATTTTTTGTTTGTTATAATGAATTGAACTATAAATGAAAGTATTATAGATTTGTTATTACAAAGTATCCAAAATTAGTATTTGAATCTATTATTACGATGGAATTAATACAATCAATAGAATCATAATTATTAATTGAATCGAATTATTGGTATTTCAATTTGTTTATCATTTATTCATTTTTCTGGGATTTTCTAATAATCAATTGCTGGTAATTAATAAAATAGAATATTCCTATGACGATTAATAGGAAACTATTATTTTCTCCACCACCAATGTCTGTCTATCCAATGATATGCGAGCAAACTGTTTTTCTTCTCAAACAACAACATTAGTTCATATACAACGACTTATCAATGGTGTCTGGCAGAGGAGGAACGTCAACAGCAAACTTCATCTGGACTTCCTCCATTCGCTTCTTGTCTTCCTCGGTGGTCACGAAGGAAATAGCTAGACCCTTGGTTCCGAAACGACCAGCACGACCCACGCGATGCAGGTACTCGTTTGCTGTTTCCGGGAAATCGTAATTGATTACCACATTGACCTTATCCACATCAATTCCTCTGCCGAATAGGTTGGTAGAGACCAGAATACGGTAATCGAAGCCCTTGAACCGCTTGTAGTGCTCCAGACGGTCCTCCGTGCTCATGTCTCCTGTGATGCAGGTGTTGTTGAACTGATCGCGGTTCAGAATGTTTGACAATTCTCTGGCGCGCGCGCTGTTCCGGACAAAAATGACAATTTGATTGAATTCCAGAGTGTCCAGCAGGTCCATCAGCTTCTTGGTCTTTTGATTCTACGCTCAACCTCCCATCATGCGCTTACATCGTAGATCGTCAGATAATACTGCTGCAGACCGTGCAGCGTCAGGGCCGATTCGTCCAGCTCGATCATCAGAGGCTACGGATGAGCAAAGCGCGCAAAAGTCCAACATCCTTCATAAATCGCAGACACACCGCCTTCGCCTCGGGAGGAAGCGTGGCAGTGAACATCATCACCTGCTTGTCGATCGGGCAGGCGGTGAAAATACTCTGCAACTGAGCTCGCATGTTGATGGAGGTGATGATGTGATCGCACTCGTCCACCACGAAGTGGCGCAACTTGTCCACCTTCATCCAGCCGCGCTTGATCAGGTCTTCCACGCGGCCAGGAGTTCCTACGACGATAGCAGGGTGGGTATTGAGAGCCTCGCGATCGGCCTGAATGTTTCTTCCTCCAAAGAAGACTTCGGTTCGCACGTTCGGCATAAACTTGGTGAATCGTTTATACTCATTCTGGATCTGGAAGGCCAGCTCACGCGTGTGAGCAATAACCAACACCTGAATATCTTGATTCTCAGGATCGTCCTTGAGCATTTGCAGGGTGGAGATTACGAACACAGCAGTCTTACCCATTCCAGACTTTGCCTGGCAGAGGACGTCCTTGTTGGTAATAGCACGGGGAATGCAAGCGTGCTGCACTAGCGTTTATGGCGGCAAAACATTAGGAGTACCTTCAGAAGGATGCTCAAAGCCACAATCAGAAATTGCCTTGAGAATTTCATCCTTCAAGTAGAAATCCTTAAAACTACTGCTGTTCATTGTAGCATAATGAGCCCTAAGAAGAATAAGGTAATACAAGGCATATCGAACTTGATAGAGTCCACTTTCTCATCTCCCTGAATGGGACGCTCGTTGGGGATTTCGTCCTCTTCATCATCATAGTCCACAAGCTGCGCGTTATCCGGATTCTCAGTACTCATCGTTGACACAATTTTGCTAGTTTAAGGTTTTGTATTGACAAAATTCGGGCCGATTTTCATATCATTTCAAATGATGTGTTACAACAAAATCGAAAAGCAAATCCCAAATTTTCATACTCTTTCCACTGGACTGGGAGAAGGCTAGCGGCCTTTTTGAATTCCGTTGACGAACTCACATTTCCGAAAGAGGCGGGCGAATAGCAGTCTTCTCCTTCCTTTCCGTACTCCACAACCATCTGGCGCCTCTCTTCTGAGTTCAGAATGAATCGTTTCACGAAGTTCTTCATGTCTTCTTTTGTCAGCGACTGGATGTGTTGCGCGGAGTGCTCCTGCTTCTTAAAGTCGAAATTGCCATCTGTAATCGACTTCCAGAGTCGTTTTCCCAGAGCTTTCACCGTAATGATCCGCTTCAGCAGCTTATTGCAAATGGAGTCTTTGTACGCTTGGAACTCTTCGTCTGTCATCGTCTCCAGCTCCGAGCTCTCCTTCTCCACACACTCCACAATAGCCTGCGAGATCTCTCTGCAGACAAACTACCCATCACCGCAGCGTCCTTCTCTCACCGAATTACTCTGCACGATGACCAGGAATCCCGCGCTCCCGGCCATATCGCTGAACAGGGACCACACGATGTACCCCATTTGCCGCTTGGTCCGCAGTTTATCGAAGAGCGATTCCTCCACGCACTGCGCGAACAGGCGCCCAGCGTCGCTCTCGGCGAGCGGCAGCTGCCAGTACACGCAGCTCGCGTAGTTGGGGGACTGGGCGTTCGGAACGGGGAACTGGAAGACGGTGCGATGCGTGGGAATCGATCGAATTCGCATCGAACCCGGAATTCGATCGGAGAGCGAAACGAACGACCGCGCGGCCGCGACGATTCGGAGAACGCGATCACGCGCGAGATTGCCCACGAAGAGCCACTCGATGCGCGAAGTGGAGAGAAGTCGTTTCTAGAGGGAAAAAGGGGAAACGGGGAAACGGCGAAGTGCTGGATTTGGGGAAGCGAAACAGGGTGGGATTGGAGGTACTGATATCTGTCTTCGATGGAGGAAGCGGTGGAATGAAGGAACGATTGAGGAGTGAATGGGCAAGCAAACAAGCGAACAAGCGAACAAGCAAGCAAACAAACAAACAAACACAAGCAAACAAACAAACAAACACAAGCAAACAAGCAAACAATCACACACAAACACAGCAAGGATATGGGAAGAGGAGGGAGAAAGTGCTGGAGAGAATGAGTCGATAGGGTTCTTTTAACACCTCCGTGTTGATTCTACATGACAAACGAGGAGCGAATCCACTGATTCACGTATTTGGAATACTCGTCCAAATACACAGATTCCGAAATGTCCAAATTCGCCAGCGATTCCATCACTATTCGGAACAGCAGATCAACGTGCTCGTTAAATCTACGCTTCGCTCCCTTCCTCATTCTCTACCCATTCACCTTGATGATCAAACCCCGATCATACTGGAAGCTGTAGTCCAACGAATATCCCATCAGTGTGGCCGGGTAGAATTGCGTGATAATCTTTCGCTTCAGCAAGCTATCTCTCACTCCCTCAATCCAAACGAAACCGGACCAGAATGGAGCAGAACAGCAAGCTTTCTGTGCTCTCCATGATGATTCCCGTGTTCAACATGAGCATCGAGCTGCACTTGGGAAGTCCGAACTCCGTGCAGGGCTGGTGCCAAATCTTCCAGCGATCATCGTTCAGAATCTACACTGAAACAGAAGCAGAAACGCAACGAGCTCGGGACTCTGCGCAGCGTCGCATCCGTCGATCATGCGGAAATCGGTACACAAAAAGGGATTGGGAGCGGGAAGATGGAGCGGATAATCCGCTGGCTGAATGAAACTGCTCACTACAAAATGATCTCACGAAACAATCAAGGAACAAGGCTGGTCGCGCTTCGTGTAGTCAATTCCATAGACAGGCTCCCGCATCCACGACGAATCGTCTCCCTTCGAGCATCTGTAGCTCAGCACTCCGATGCAATTGGAAGGAGCCAAGCGATCTACAAGACTCGAAATGTGAACGAAATCATAGTCCAAATAGGGATAAGAATTCAGGATAAATCGCATTGGAACCACTTGCATTCGACGCGCAATCTCATCCACATAGTCCGTACTGCTCCGCTTCGATTGGAAGCGAAACTCTGTTCGTTTGATTTGCGCTGTTTCCTCGAAATAGAGATGAAGCTTATCAGAATCGCGCAGCAAAGCCAGGTACGAAAAGAAAATGCTGAGAACCAAAGAAAGGTTCTTCAATCCCGAGTCAGTCAGCTTAATCGTAGCCGAAAAGAGACTCATGAAGCTCAAATTGCTTTTCAATCCAGTCACCAATTCCGTCGCCAATCCCCGATTCTATTCAGAATCCCTTCAAAAAAGAAATGCATACGCGCAATTCACAGAGAATCGAACCTTCGCCCTCATCTCCCAGAAGCGAGGAGACCAAGTCACAACTATTCTTGGTAGCATCGTGAAGCTGCGATGGGAACGGGAAGTACAACGCCAACTAGCTGTAAGCAAAGGAGAAAACACCGAACTGTCTTCAAATCGCCTATTGGAAGGACTTGATACAAAGCGTTCATTGCATCTGCAGCGTACACATCTCTCTACGCATCAGCAAACGACTTTAGACAAACAGAGAAAGAAGGAGGCTCCAAAGTTCGCTTCTCCATTTGATCGAATAAAGATCGCACGTGTTGCTCCATTTTGGAGACGTCAAAATCGCCCTGAATCACAAGCTTCATTCGGGAAGCAGCGTAATGAGTGTGGTAGAATTCGATGACTCGATCCCGAATATTGGGTATAGAGAGTGTGGACTTGTCGCCAGTATCTACATTATAGCACGCAAGAAAAGCTACAAAAGTGATTGTAAGGATGGTCTTCTCTTCCCAAATACCTCAGCAATTGCTGGAATCTCCAAATATCGCTCTGGAGATTCTTTGAGTGCTCATTATCAACAGCTTGAATCTCACGCTGGACACATCCTTCCAGAAACAGAGGACATGTAAAGAATCCGGAAAATAGTTCGATCGCTTCAAATGCAGCATCGTTAGCTACAGTAAAGAAAAAGTCTGTAAACTCTGAGGAGGTGTAGGCATTCGATGCACCGTTATTCTGTGATAGAAAGCGATTGTATGCATTTTCTTCTGGATGCGTTTCAGTACCCATAAACAACAAATGCTACAAACATTAAACGAACAACATTTAAAAACCTCAACAAAGTGTGCCAGACCAGGAATATCGCTGGGATCATTCAGACTTCCTGCATTGACGCTCATGCAGACATTCGATATGTCTGCGCCCTCATCCTTAATAAGAAGCGTTGTTAACCCATTCTCAAGAGTAAAACTGTAGTAATGCTGCGGATCATTAGGTGATTTTTCAATTCCATTCTCCTTTGAGTCAATTTACAAAAGTATAAAAACCATAACAAAGTATGTATCTTCCATTTTACAATAATGTTGCCTAGGATTTAAAACAAAGAGGAATATGAATAGGGATGCAAAAACATTGTACAATCAATTATATTTTAGTATTTCGATGTGAGTGTACCATGGATTTACTTTACACATATACATAAATACAAACTCGTGTGTGAATCAACGCCGAAGGAGTCAACTCTATTTCTTAATTCTATTTGTCATATACAATGCATTTAAAAAAAGAAGGTTTCCTGAGTGCCATCTCCTCAATCGTTCAGTCATTTCAGATATACATATTAATTCAAAAAAACAGTTAAAACAACAGCAAGAAAATGAAGTACTATTATTAATTAATTAATTATGAACCTTCAAGAATAAAGTCTCCTCATCCAAAGCAAAACCAACACGGTTATCATCACTCAAAATCTTATTATCCTCCGTCTCCACATAGACGTAGTAAATATCCGTGTTCATAGAACCCACAAATTCTCCCTTATGCAGGTGGCCATCATTGTCTCCATAATAGTTGTAGCCGGGAACCAGCGCGGTGCTCACCTTCACGGTTCCAGAAACCGCCACAGATATGGTCGACTTCGTCACACTCGTAACGATTCCCAAAGGAAGAGGCTTAATATCCAGAAGATGAAGCTCGCTGTGCGTGTTTGAGACCTCGCTGGACGTAAGCGACTCCACCAGAACGAGGCGATTATCAAACATCGAGCACTCTCCCAGCCAGTAATACTCCGAATTCTACACATCAATCTCCCCATCCAGCACTACAGGATCCACCATCGGATTCGACAGGATATATTCGGGACCGAAGGCCATCAGATCATTGGCCGGCGTGACTTCTCCCATACTCAGAGCAGTGGCTCCCTGCAGGGCAATATTCGAGTAGAAGACCGCAAAGCGGGACTCGGACATCACTCGCACCTTAATAAAGTTGTAAGTACCCTTGTCAGACATGCCAGAGGCGCCTCCGTCCTGGTTGTCCAAGTAAGGACCAATAACCAGACGATCCTTCACATCGTTGTAGATGAGCAGAATGGATTCAAGTCCGTTGTTCAGATCCCCGTCAATAAAAGTGACAATCACCTGATGATCGTTCAAGCTAATCTTCATCCTCCCAGACCAAATCTTACTTATCCATATCGAAAAATCCGAAACTCGAGCGGTTCTGCAGAGTGACCTCCTTGTCCACAATCACCGAAGTTCCGTTCACTGTGGCCAACTGGAAGTGAATGTCCTTGTCTTTGCCGTCCAACGAACCCGACTTGGCCAACACATACTTCGTCTCAGACAACCCCGCAATTCCATGGAAGGTGTAATCATCACTGTAAATCACTTCATCATTCAGATTAATCTTCAACGACGATGCATCAACACAACCCGTTCGTGTGGACATCTTAATTCCATGTCCAGTGCTGTAGAAATATCCAATAGCGAAGCAGTGATCGCCAAGAGTATCAATGACCGGCTGATAGCTCGCTGGCTCCGTAAAGCGGATTAACTCTCCAAGGACAATTTTTCCACTGTTGCTTTCATTATCCCATGTAGCACGGATGCCCAACAGATTTGTGCTTCCAATCAGAACAACAACCTGGTTATCAAGAGTGATGAGGTCATCGACAGTCATCGGATATCCTCCAATAGAGGGAAGAGGAATAGTCTCTCCCTCGGTGATATCTCCATTATCAGAAACATAATTAACACTGATATATCCATCGTACGCAATCACCAAAATATTGGGACCCACATTTGTCGAGTACAAATGACTCATTGACTTCCCTTTCCAAAACAATTTATTCTTGGAAATACTAGTTCCCTCTCCCTTTTGAATCTTGCCTTTGTTATTTATCGAAACGACATCACCAACACTTACACTGCCTTCGACATTGGAACTCTGCGTAGTATAGAGAATTGCACTCGCAACATTTGGCTAGAATTAAACGAAAGAAGAGAAATCACCTTCTTAAATGCACCCATGACTGCTAAAAGAATGGCAATGATGGCTAAGATCAGGGAAAGGTAAGAAACCCAGCGAGAAACAGAGGACTGATCCTTTTGCTTCTCGGTAGGAAGTAAAGATTCACTATCAACCATATCGAATAACCTTCTGGAATAAAAAATAATGTCGCTAGTGTCTCATTTCACTTCAGTTGGTTCGGCCAATTAAACAAACGCACGAAAAAGAGTGGCGGTATTCACTTATCTCGCCCAAATTGTGGTATTCAGACCTTATAATGGTACCATAAATACAGGAAACGAAATAAGTAATTATAGGGAAAATTTGTATTGCGACTTTACACCTAATATGGAGATTGTTTGTTTCCTGGACTCATTGATTAGCATCAATGTGATATATATCAAAAAAAGACATTGAAATGGATAGGAGACCGGTAAAAGAAAGATGGGTAAATATTTCTGTGCCAGTATTACCAAACTTCTCAGGGAGATACCACCTACTTGTATCATTGCTCTTGATCCAATGGAAACAAATGATGAAAATGCAATTAAGTCACTTCTCCTGCATCAACAAGTGTATCTCCTGTTTGCACAAATTTGTATATATATATATATATCGGAGATAGAATTTATAAATGTTACAAAAGACTGCGAATGGTAATACCTTTGAGAAGTGCCATTATCACCAATCACTACGACATAAATAGTAAGGAAAACACCAAATTGTCCAATTATAGATAAAATCACAAGTGAATACCAGAGTGTAGTGTCTATACTCGTTTATTATATAAATAATACATTTATAATATAAAAAATAATGGTATCCCTCTAGAAAAGATAAGAATAGTTATACATCACGTGGCAAATCAGTATGATCAGCCTACCAAGTTTTCAATATAGAGTATTCCAACCACGCATAGTACAGAAGCACGGTCCATTGTGAAAAGGCAATGCCATTCATCTCAGTAGAGAATGCAAATGGAATTGCATTCTATTTATCTTATGCACTGTCATATGTGGCAAGACATAGCTTATTGTGTATTGAGCCGAGAATCATGTAGTTGTGAAATCATTCTTGGCCATTAGTACACCAGGGAATACAATAGAATTAGTCGAATAACTATTACCTTCCAAAACCCAAAAAGAAAAATAAACTGACTTTTGCAAACACAAAAACAATTCTCTAAACATGCAAAATTTGAAGAGTACTGCTGCTACTAGCCATATCCACAACCTGGCAATTGCAAACTCTAAAAATGAAGCTGGGAGGGGACACATGTGGAATCAGAGCATGAACAATCTTTTCAACATATTAAATGTTAGTGAAAGGAATAGTTATTTTGATGTGACGCTTGGAGAACCTCTGAATGGCTATCACATGAAGACAGGTATTCGAGACTTAAAAATGCATGGAACATCGACACTTTACTCAGACAAGGGGTTAAAAATTGCTATCTTAACTTTTGAAAAAGGAGTTGCCAAGGGACCCTGTACATTGTATGACGACTTGGGAGTATTGTTTTTTGAAGGATTTATTAAGGATGGTTATCGACATGGAAAAGGAAAAGAATATGATGAGTTCGGAAAAATTATATTTGATGGCTTTTATGAAAAGGGAGAACGCCTAGACAACATTGTTCCCATGTGTGAAATGCCACAATATTGGAAGGAATATGATAATAGTGGGAAACTGATTAGTATTACTCAGCGAGATAATTATGGACAATATGAAGGACTTTGCTATTTCTATGACGAAAAAGGAGCAATCGATTGCATCAGTGAGTGGAAAGAAGGCAAAGAAGTATCAACCACTGGCTATTATAAAGTGTATGATGAACTAAACAAAAGATGGGTTATTGGCCATTTTGAAAACAGGAAAATACTACGAACTGAAGCAATCAAAGATAAGCAAGGATATCGGAAGCAGTACAATGAGGACAATCAGTTAGTTCGTGTATATGGTGAAGACATGGAAGGTAAATATAATGGAATTTGCTATATGTACATAAATGAACATATCTGTCGCATTAGTTATTGGGAGCATGAGTCAGAAATAAGAGTGATAAAGCAGTTTAATGGTTCTACAATGATTGAGTACAATGAAGAGGGGCAAAAATGCTATGAAGGAGGATTCTTGGACTCTTTTGAGTTAGATTATCCCCGAAATGGTGATGGTGAGGAATATGGCAGAGATGGGAAAACTCTCATATTCAAAGGAAGCTATAGCAATGGAAGAAAACATGGAAAAGGCATTTGCTATAAGGATAACGAGATAAAAAGGAAAACAGTTTGGTTAGCTGGCTATTCTAAAGAAGGATTGTTACGAACACTCTTGTCAATAATAGTTCTGACTCTGTTATTATTTGTAATCGATGTGTTTTTGGGTTTAGCTTTTCTAGTAATTGCTAATTTGCTGATTATTATCCGATGGAGTTGCTCCAGACTACTGGGAAAAGCAATATGCAACCGAACTGACCTAAATCTAATGGCAGACTATTTCAGAGATGGCTATTCAACGAGTACTAAGACTAAAAAGGGAACGAAAAAGATGTCTTGTTGTCTCTGTCATAATATTTTTCTTTCTACAGTTATTATCGTATCCCTTTTGTTGGTATGCATTTGTGCTAGTGCTCATTTTTACTACAATTTAGTAAATCCCTATATTAGTGTATTTCAAACGACATACACTGCAAAGTCATTTAGAAATCACAATACTGCAGGCTTTCGATTAAGTTTCAAGCCCTTTCTCAAAACAATAGAAATAGAAAACCAATGTTTTGAAGTTGCTTCTGTGTTCCAAATCAAGGGATTGAATTCGTTATACTCTGTTAGGATCGGTTCGAATTCGTTTACTGAACATAGAAACAATTTCGGAAATGATGGATCGAAATCATTCCATGTTTTGAATTGTAAACATCTACAATCTATTGAGATCGGTGAATATAGTTTTAGTGATTTCGGAGGTGACTTTGAGATAAGAAACCTCCCTTCTTTGAAATCTCTTGAAATAGGTGTGATGAACACATCATCCTATAACTTCTATTCTGTAAAATCGTTTATGATTGAAGGTATGAAGTACTATATCCCAGGTTCGTAATTGAATAGACCTTCCTACGCTCAACACGATATCTTTGGGAGATTCTACATTCTATGATTTCCAGTTGGTTGCTTTCAATAGTAGGGAATACGGCGAGTGTGAGTGCTAATGACTAGATCTTCCTGAATTGGATTCAATCAATCTGGGCCAGCATGCGTTGTATGGTAAACATGATGTGTCCTGTTCATTGATGATGGAAGGTACGCCAAGTAATCAGTGATGTATAAACAATAGATCTTCCGAAGTTATCATCGATCCATTCTGTAGGATATAGTTTCTATTATCCTCGCAATGTTACACTCAACAGTATTGTTAGATAGTAATTGTAATCATAATGTAGACATACCTAATCTTGAAAGTGTGGAATTGCCAGATTCATTTGGATATTATTTTTATTTAACTGTAAATAGTATGTGTAAAACGATTTTTGTATAACGCGTAGATGTTCATGAATTGTTGTCACACTATGTACCTAGCAATGTTTATCACATCGATGATTTGTATGAATCAGTGGATGTGATTCCATCGGATGCTGAAAAGATCATAGTGAAAGAGAATTCTTTTGGTAATACTGAAACCTTATCAATCAATAACTACCCGAATTTGACATCCATCGTATTTGAAGATAATACGTTTAAGAATGTGAATTCTGTGGAGATCAATGGAGATAATATCGAAGAAGTTGTTATTGGGGATAACTGCTTCTCGAAGTTGGAGTCTGGAGTGGAGGGAGGTCGGAGATTGGAGGATATTCAGCCTTTCAATTTTTACACTCCGAGTGTAAAGTATTTGAATATTGGTAGAAAGTCAGTATTGAATGTGAATACATTGGTGTTTTATGAGTTATTGGACAGTGTGGAATTTGAATTGGATAGTGAATCGATGATGAATATCAATTTGATTCGGTATAAATATGGGATTTCAAACAGTACTATTTACGATATCAAAATGGTAATTGAAATGAATAAGGGACAAAATGATTCTATTATAATTGAAGTGATGGATTATCCAACTCCAACGCCTACACCAACACCAACTCCAACTCCAACTCCAACTCCGACATTAACACCAACTCCAACACCAACTCCAACTGCAACACCTACTCCAACTCCATCTCCAACTCCATCTCCAACTCCAACACCTACACCAACACCTACATCCACACCAACACCAACTCCGACATTAACACCAACTCCAACACCAACTCCAACTCCAACACCTACTCCAACTCCAACTCCAACTCCAACTCCAACTCCAACTCCAACTCCAACTCCAACTCCAACTCCTACTCCGACACCAACTCCAACTCCTACTCCAACTCCAACTTTAACTCCAACTCCAACTCCAACTCCGACACCTACTCCAACTCCAACACCAACTCCAACTCCAACTCCTACTCCGACACCAACTCCAACTCCAACTCCAACTCCAACTCCAACTCCTACTCCGACACCAACTCCAACTCCTACTCCAACTCCAACTTTAACTCCAACTCCAACGCCTACTCCAACTCCAACTCCAACACCTACACCAACTCCAACTCCAACTCCAACACCTACACCAACTCCGACACCAACTCCAACTCCATCTCCAACTCCAACTCCAACACCATCTCCAACTCCGACACCAACTCCAACGCCTACTCCAACTCCAACACCAACTCCAACGCCAACACCTGAACCTTGGTTTCCTATCTATGATCCCTTCATTTTAGGAGATAATTGTAATTATGCCACACCTGATGATTGTAAACAACAAATCATTTCAGAAACTAATGTAACTAATCTATATTTGGCAATCCGTGATGCCTATCCTACAAAGGCTCTAGCTCATACACGTGTGATTGCTCTTTCTGGAGTTGATAATATCAATATTGAATCATGGAAAATGTCTCTTTCGAAACAAGCTTTGAATATTGCTCCTATCGATTTATACATTTTACATGATCCTATTAAAGGTCGAAAACTGAGTACTGAACTTATATTAAGTCATATGTATTTATGTAAATATACATATCCTCGTATTCTATATATCAGTGATGGTACTTTGTATCGTGAAGGATTTGTAAAATTGTTACAATATATATATGATAATAGAGCGAATGGATGGTTCAATAATATGGAAACATTTGTTGTAGTCAAAAATTATATAGCATCATATGATTATCTTCAAGAAGGTTCAAATCCTGGTTATGTTACTGAACTAAATCAACAGATTATCAGTTATTTGAATACAATGTGTACTGACAAAATCAATTTTCCTAATTTGAAATCAATGGATTTTAACATGAATGGATACAATTTGATAGGATCATCTGGTTTTGCTGAAGAATTGAAAGGATCTTGTCCTTCTTCGAGTGGAGTATCTATTTCTGCATCTGAAAGTTTTATCAAGTATCCTGTATTTTGTCTTGATGATAATCATTTTCAATCATCGCTAATGACTCGAACATACTATTATGACATGAACAATGCAATTGATGCTATTCAATGTCGCTACAATTGGAATTGGGAAGTGAATGGAATGTTCAACAATGATATTACTGGACCCTATCCATTGGACACTACTCCTGATTGTCCCACTATATTTCTTCCTACACCTACGCCAATTCCTACTCCAACACCTGAACCTTGGTTTCCTATCTATGATCCCTTCATTTTAGGAGATAATTGTAATTATGCCACACCTGATGATTGTAAACAACAAATCATTTCAGAAACTAATGTAACTAATCTATATTTGGCAATCCGTGATGCCTATCCTACAAAGGCTCTAGCTCATACACGTGTGATTGCTCTTTCTGGAGTTGATAATATCAATATTGAATCATGGAAAATGTCTCTTTCGAAACAAGCTTTGAATATTGCTCCTATCGATTTATACATTTTACATGATCCTATTAAAGGTCGAAAACTGAGTACTGAACTTATATTAAGTCATATGTATTTATGTAAATATACATATCCTCGTATTCTATATATCAGTGATGGTACTTTGTATCGTGAAGGATTTGTAAAATTGTTACAATATATATATGATAATAGAGCGAATGGATGGTTCAATAATATGGAAACATTTGTTGTAGTCAAAAATTATATAGCATCATATGATTATCTTCAAGAAGGTTCAAATCCTGGTTATGTTACTGAACTAAATCAACAGATTATCAGTTATTTGAATACAATGTGTACTGACAAAATCAATTTTCCTAATTTGAAATCAATGGATTTTAACATGAATGGATACAATTTGATAGGATCATCTGGTTTTGCTGAAGAATTGAAAGGATCTTGTCCTTCTTCGAGTGGAGTATCTATTTCTGCATCTGAAAGTTTTATCAAGTATCCTGTATTTTGTCTTGATGATAATCATTTTCAATCATCACTAATGACTCGAACATACTATTATGACATGAACAATGCAATTGATGCTATTCAATGTCGCTACAATTGGAATTGGGAAGTGAATGGAATGTTCAACAATGACATTACTGGACCCTATCCATTGGACACTACTCCTGATTGTCCTATTATGTGAGAACATTACGCTGACAATTGTTTGTTGGTAGTATACACTTTGACTTATTGATACAATGAATAATACATGAAAAATCTATAATAGGTGTTCTGTGTATCGCTTAATATTCATATCAATTAGTTACAGTCTTAGTGCAATAGTGATATGCTTTCAATAGAATTAGAATAGATCACTTTGATCCACAAAGAAGAGAGTGCATGTAGTCCGATATCCTTCATATAACAAGTAAATGTAATAGGCAGGAATTAGAGTCAATTTCGAATGTCCCTATCACCCTATTGAATCTTACCAGTACATTTGGAGTAGTTTAGAAATACTGTGTGTATTCCTAATACAAAGGCACACCAGATTTGTTCTATATCCTTTCGATTCTGACTGAGCTCGATGTTTCTTCTCTTTCGCATTATATGCTTCGAGCATATCACACACATATATATATGATTTCGTGTATTCCCTTGAGTGCAGCGACATTTGGTATTCTCAATATTGCTCTATTCACCGTCTCAATACACTTTATTTAAAGCCATGTAAAAATCAATTTTACTGTTTTCACAACTACTCCTTGATTTTCTGTTGAAATCCCAAAATTCTCCTGTTTTTTGTATTCAATTTGATATTCATATCTGAATATTCTGTGGAAGTAGATGAACTATAAGAGGATTTTATTTTTGGGAGATGGTACATTTGATGGATTTGTTTAAGGGTAGCCAATTGTGGAAAAACGTCAATTCTGAATCTCTTTTCGAATGACGGGTTTTCTGATACTGTTCCTGATCAAATGGACGATTTTATTATTCCATCAGAAAATACTCTTCTTCGAGTACCTCTTTGTCTTGTGGATGGGTCTAGTATTATTCGTTCCATCTATATTATATGTAGTTTGCCATGAATTTGGTGACAGTTGTAAAGATTTGGCATCGAAAGTCGTTCTACGTTGTTCTTTTGAATTTTAGGCAGATATGATCGTCTTGGTATTTGATGCAAATAAGCAATCTACGTACACGTCCCTGACCGAAAAATGGCTTCCTTTTATTAGTTCTGTAGTTCCATCTGTAAGGTTTCCGTTCATTTTATTAATGAGACGCCAATTATCGTTTTGGCTAACAAAACCGATCTTCTCATTGAAGATGCCCACATTTCTCAACTGGATGATTTTCTAACCGATATCTACAACACATTTGAAGTCTCTACTTTATTGTCGATCTATGAGTAGATGATTGAAAAAGTGAAATATTTTTCTGCCAAAGTCATGGAGGACGGGTCGTCGATCATTCGCTTAATCGAAGAATCGATTCTTTTCCCACTTCATCCTCTCTATAATCGATCGGCCAACGTACAATCTCGCTCCCTCCTTCTCCTTAGACCCTGAATGACATTGTGATTCGATGTCTTCGCCGTATTTTCCGAGTTTTTACGCAGTACAAAACGCGAACGATGCCGCTCGCGAAGTTTTCGCTTTTGAAAGTATTCCTGGAATTCCACAATACCCCGTAGAAAATGTGTTCCAAGGGACTGGCCCATCCTTTCGACTTCGACCCCATTTTGGAACGCCTCCAATCAGAAGGCCACTCCATCAAGGACGGTCTCTCCGAAGAGAGTTTCATCCAATGCTTTGTGCTGTGCGTGCAGGAGGGAAGAAACGACGTGTTGTGGAACCTGCTCAAATCGATGGGCTACTCCATGGATTTCGACTTCCAGTTCGAAATCCCCGCGATTCTGCTCAAGGCCGACCAGACCATCGAATTCTCCAACGAAGCTCGGCAGTTCCTCACCAATGTAAAATCGCCCCGATTTCTGCCATTCAGATTTTCCGCTGCTTTTTCGACGTGAAGGAAGGCGCTCTCTCCCCCGAAGCGATTTCGAGCCTATTTTCGCCACTCCCGAATTCCGAGCCGCTCTGGGAGCATCTCCAAACCCCTCGCTATCCTCTGTTTTCTCCTCTGCCAGCCTCCTCTCTAGCATGACCCCCGGATTCCCGTGGAACTGCCGCACCAACGAGAACGGACATCTCACCTTCGCGGGGTGGTCGTCGCTCTGGGAGCTTCTGCTTCGCTGCGACGCGGCGGCGACGCTTCGCTGGCTGGTCCTGCTGGGCTGGGACGACGAAGTCTGTCTGCTGTACGTGGTGACGAAGCCCAAGCAGGAGGACTGGCGCAGCAACAACTATCTCCGCAGACACGTCGTGCACGCCTTCGCGTTCGGAGACTCCGCGGTCGGAAAGGTCCGCGTCTCGCCTCGTTCTCACGCGCAGACCTCCCTCTTACAGCGATTACTCGCCGCTAAAACCACGCCCGTCCCCACGGAAACGCTGTCGACGGTCGTGGCGCCGGTGTCGTTCTCGACGGACAACCTCACCACCATCAAGAAGACGCTGCTGTTCTCCGAGGTGCCCGTGGGGCTGGAGCGGAAGACACTGCGCGAGATGGGGAAGGCCTGCGATATTGCGTGTTGGAGCAGGGGCGGCGAGTGAAGACTAGGCATGGTGTATGACGTGACGCGGCCGGAAACCTTCGATTACGCGCTGAAAATCGCGGAGATTCTGCCGAGGTCGATGAAGGTGCTGTTTATCGGTAGTAAAAACGACCTCTGCCAGCAAGTGGGTAGAAAAAAGGATTTGAGAGTAGCCTTACGAGTTGTCGGAATTGCGTCGTCGCGCAGATAAATATATGAAAGAAAACGGACTGGAAAAAACGCTCGTTACCAGCAAGGACCAGAAGGATAAGCTGTTCCAGTACATCTGTGAGTTGGCGTTATATGAGTGGGAGTGGGGAAGCGGAGTGACGGATAGCGAGCTGTGCATCCCGAAACGAAAGGGATGGAGCGTGATGTGGAAGATTGGATTGATGTCGGTCGTCGTGGGAATCTGTAAGGATGAATGAGGCAGGTGCTTATTGGTAGTGGCAGGGGGAATGATTATCTGGAGACGAAGGCTTTAATAGTGTTGATTGTGATTTCACAGGATGTTTGTTTCCAAAACCAATACGTTTTTATGTTTTTGTTTGTATGCAGTGATGATGGCCTGTGATTTAGCATTGCAGTTTTGGTTGTTTTGTCAGTTTGGAAGTTGCCTCGTTCTCCTGCCATCCAAGGCGATGATTTGCAGAGTCCGCATGGTAGACGTCTGGTTACAGATGAAAGCCAAGTATTTGACGTGACATATGCCAGCCAAACCTCGTTTTTGAACACTCATCAGTTTAACATGCAGAATGGACCGTCTATTCTTTTTAAATTACCTTCCTAAACGGTGGAACGGGTTTTCTATCGAATTGTCCTTTAGTATAGTCCAATATCCATCGCGTTGTATCTCAAGAAAGAGGATTGGGAAACATTTATGACTGCGAAGTCGCAAATGGGTCTCGAGGAGCGCGTGTCTATTGCTCTGTATCTTCAGACCGACAGTTCTCTCTATCCGATCAACACTCTGCGAAACATCGCAATTAAGAATGTTCATACGAGCCACTTTTTCATGTCCGACATGGACATGTGGCCGTCTTTTTCCCTCCACGATGTGCTTCAGAGTCTTCCTTCCTATATTCTCGGCGATGATATGTTCGCCGGCATCATCCCCGCCTTTGAGATCGAAAAGCCGTCTTGTTCTTCGCTTTCCGACTGCGTTTCAAAGTCTTTTTTCCAAAATTCCCGTCGATTTTAGATCCGTTCCCCGGTTTCCCCAATCCAAACCCGAGTTAATCCAATGTCTCAAGAACCAGAGCTGTTTCCTGTACCGCGAGAAGAAATCGACCCACGTATTTATTTCGATATTTTTTCTTTTTTTCAGAACTATCTCTACGAAAAGTGGTTTCTTTCGGATTGTCCGTTTCACTACTCGCTGGTTCCGTGCTGGTTCAACTCGATCCAAGAGCCCTACGTGATGGTGAAGCGCTCGAGCATGCTGCCCGCGTTCGACGAGCGTTTTGTGAACTACGGCTTCAACAAAATCACGTGGCTGCATCACTTGATTCGTCGCGGCTATTACTTTGGAGTGATTTCGCGAGGGTTTGTGATGGATTTGCCGCATCCAGAGTCTCGATGGGATGGTGGCTTGAAGTGTAGATCGAAGCTGAGACAGCAGTATGTGGATGAGTGGAACTCGGAGGGAGGATCGTCGATGTTGCGGATGTATCGACAGTTTATGAAGGAGCTGGAGGAAGAACCGGATCGAACGGTGGTTCCGATTTGCAGTCCGAGAGACTGAGTGTGTATAGTGTGAGTTCGAAGGCAAGGAAACAAACAAACAAACAAATCAATAAAGAAATAAAGAAATAGAGAATTGAATGAACGAATGAATGAGTAAATGAGTAAATGAATGGATCGGAATTCGGATGGCAGCTTTTTGTTTATCTCTTATTTTCGGTTATTTCTTCTTCTTTGTTCCAAACGAGCTGAAGCCAATGAGTTCTTCCAGTTCTTTCGATGATTCATCGGCTGGATTGGATGCTTCCCTACATTCAACACCACCACGCTGAAGCTACTCGTCCTGCTTCTGCTTCTGTTTCTGTTTCTGCCTTTCTTTCTCTTCTTGTTCTTCCTTTTCCTTTTGCAAACGCTCAGCGCGCCGCTTCAATAGAACTATCTTGTCAAACACACTCAAGTATACGGTCTTTGGCGGAGATTTTGGGTTTTTCGCTCTTCAGAGAGGCTAGTTTCTCTTTTACAGTGTTCACATCCACGTATTCGACACGCATCAATCTTCCCAGGTGCTGTTGGTCTAAGTATTAGCGACCACTGACAATCAATAACGCTTTCTCCCATTGATGTGATCTAGCCACGAGCGATTATCCTTCAGACTGCATTTACACACATCGCACCAATAACCACCGGACTCGCTTTCCTTCGTTGCATCCTTGATAATCTAAATAAGATAATGCAAAAAGAAGCATGCCTTCTTCTTTCCGACATCACTGTCCAAATTAAGTCGTTTTTCACGCGCCTGAACGAATGTCAGCTCTTCTCCCTTGGAATTGTAGTAAGAAGTATGCATTCGCTGAGGACCTTCCCCTTCTTCTCCAACCTCCGTGGAATCCTATGATTTACAACGCACTGAATAGGACCCTACTCGTTTTTGCGACTTTTGAGTTCCATTGGTCAATTGACTCCCATTCTCCGGTCCTTTGCTCTCCTACACACTAACATCCTCCTCCCACCTTTCTACACTCATTTGTTGGCTCACTCAAAATGATTCTAACAAACAATGATTAGAGGTATTCGACTGACTTTAATTACATCTCAAAGGAGCGAAGAATATCAGAGTCACCAGCATCAAGAATGCACACGGCCGAGGTCGAGAAGTACTTTCCGCAAGCAGTGCCGAGATCGCTGCAGTCACCCTGGTAGTGGTGGACAGTGGTCTTGGAGAGCATGGCGTAGTACTCAATCTCAGACTTTCTCAGAGGAGAGCAGTTGCTGGCCAGGAGAATTAGCTTCGCTACATATCATCTGCGATATTTCGATGCCTACCCTTTCCAGAACGAAGGCTCTTCAGAACAGACTTGTATCCGAGCTGAAGCTTTCCACTTCGGACAACCAACTGAAGCTTGTTGTTGATGCTATCAGTGTTCTTCTTCTATAACACAAGATTAGGAACAAATCACCAATTGACAATGCAGGAGTCATATTGATCACCCAACTTACGCTATTTCTCTTAACGCTAGACATTGTTTCCTTTCCGAGACAAATAACCTCTTTTCTGCTGAATCAGCAATAGAGGAATCCAGGGGTACACATCTTTATACTATACTATTAATGGAGTCAGATGCACCCCCACTAAATTCATTTATTATCGATTATTATTCAAGAAAGTTAAAAGAATAAGCAATAGAAAAGATAGATAATGATACTAGAATTCATTTTTCATAGCAATTGACATTTCAAGAGCTGTTTTACCCAAAAGTGTATCTTCCCGATTTCTCTAATTCTTCAAGTATTCTGAAAGCGATTTTGTACCACATTGTGCAGAATCAAGAAAATGTCTCTAAAGTGTGCAACAAAGTGTAAGACATTTAAAATATCGTGTAAACAGTTGATTATCCGTTCCTTTCCATTCATTAATGAAGTCGATCGTGTGCTTGAAGTGGAAACGTGGATACTATTTTTCGTTTGCAGAAGGGTCTTTGCGCAATGACTAAGGCCGATTCTTCAATTTGCTCTTCAAAATTTTCTTTATTTCTTTGTTTCGTGTTTATTCTTAGTTTCAATGTCTGTTCTGCGCGCTCCCAATATGATTCGTTGTATGTATTCCACTCGCATCCTCGATGGATGGAGGATCAATGAAAAGTTGGCAGAGAAGGTACTCTATTGTGGATTGTGTGTGAAGATAGACTGCCTTGCGCTTACGTCATATCAAGGAGGAGACTGGAGTCACACCCAGTCTGGCTGTGATCCGCTTTGGATACAATGCGGACACAGAACGTTTTATGGAGAAAAAGAAGAATCTCGCGCTACGTTGTGGAGTGAATCTCCGCGACTTCAAGTTTGATGCATCCACGAAGACAGAAGAAGTGTTAGACAAGATTCGCCAACTGAATAAGGATCGAACTATTCATGGAATCGTGATCAAGACGCCCCTTCCTTGTATATTTATGAACCTCGATAATTGATCGATAGCCACTGTGAATGAAGATGCAGTTTTACAAGCAATCTCTCCCATCAAGGATGTTGATGGATGTTGCAACACGAACAAAGGTCGATTGTTCAAGTTGGGAGATTGCAAACGTCGCGCTCAAGAAAGAGGACTCGACAGTGAGATTCACTACTACAATGTACGCTCTTTGTACAGACCTCAACTTACGGATAGATGGTGAATCTTCCCTCTTCGGCTCTGGCCACTCTTTGCTTTGTGGAGTCATACAAACTCCCCTTAGAGAAGAAGAAGGCCACGATCATTGGTCGAAGTGAATCTGTGGGTCTTCCTATCGCTCTGTTGCTCACCCACAAAGACATGACATGCCAGATTACTGGATCTCATTCAGAGCTTGATGGTAATATGCTGAAGGATGTAGGCGTGAATGGATCGAATCACAGATAGTCTGATTATGTCATTTCAACGCAGGGCACTGTTCAGAAGGTGAAAGGTGAATGGCTGAAGCCTCAGTGCACTGTAATTGACATCGGTCCTACGTACTCTGCCACGGCCACGGGAGGTAGGAATCGGGTTGAATTATAAGCAATAGATGATATTGAAGGAAGTGTGGATCTCACGGACTGCTGCAATGTGGCGAGCAATATTACTCCTGTTCCTGGCGGCACGGGAATGCTGTCATCGGTCATGCTGATGCAGAACACGATGAAATCCATGGTTTTGCAGGAGGGAATGTTGCCTCTGTATGAGAGAATGGGTGGGCAGCTCAGTTTCTACGAATCTTTGCTGCAATAAGCAGGGAGGCTCGGATCAGACTAGTTGTTCTATCTAAGAAGTATTTTCTATTGCGCAATGAGTTTATCTCTTTCTCTTTGTTTAAAACATTTTTCTATGGATAGCACCAAAGAAAGGGATGTTGTTGTAGAGGCAAAGTATACACAGAGTGGAGAGTTTATTGTAGAGGAAAGTGCATTTGGTTAAAGGAGGAAGGAGCAAGTGTTTATGCTATGGAAGAGATAGGATACTTCCTGCTAGACGAGGGGATTCGGTTGCCATTGCGAGCACCTGTGGAAGGAACGATTTCGTCGATTCTTGTGCATGTACCTTTGAATAGCCTTTTGAATGTAGGGAGACGAAGAGGTCGATGGAACCAACACGCCAGCGACTGTTGCGAAGGTCAAAACGTGTTATCACGGGTATGTTATTAATAATATGTGTATGAATTGTTATAAGGTTTACAATTTTTGGTTTTTGAATATTTTAGATTATTTCAAATAGTGATTTAGCAAATTATCGAAAAGTGATTTCTCACGATGGCTACTTGCAGTACTTGCATCCAGACACCTATCGTTAAGAAGCCCAGCTAGAATCACATCTAGAACAAGAAAGTCTTGTAAACCAAAAACGTTTGCTAGCGGCACGCCGTCTTGGCCTTGTATTTGATTTGGATAACACACTGATGGAACAAAGCGACGATCCTCGCTGTTCCGTTGCTCCCTCGTTCGGCATTCCAAATATGTAGCCGTTTTTCAACTTTTTGACACAGTCATTTCATCCAATTCAAACGAAACAACCAATTGTCCAAACACACAATCATTCTTCGCCCTGAGGTCCAGTCCATTTTGACCGAACTCTCCAAATACTATGAACTTTCGATTTACACAGTATTTCTCACTCCCATTTCACTCTCAGAACGGCGTTCGCACGTACGCCCAAGCCATCATTGAGAGCATTGATCCGAAACACCAACTTTTTGGGAGTCGTGTGATTGCTCGTGATGATGTGCCTGACAATAGCGAAACCAACTTTTTCAACAACTTTTTGCCCGCCTCGAAGGATATTAGCTTTGTATTGCCGGGGTTGGAGCGTTTAGGCGTGGTCGTCGATGACTCGGTGGAGGTCTGGAAGGACCGAGCCATCGTTCTGCACATTCCGAAGTTCTGCTTCTGGAGGTCGTTTCTGAAATGTTACGAAACGTTGGAGCGTGAAAACATACGCGATGAGACGCAGAGGAGGCAAAAAAGTGGAAACGAGTGGAATCGGTGAGGCGTAGTGTTTGAAGCAGTGGGGTGGATCATCAATAACGACTCGATGAACATTGTGAAGGACACCTTGGTGCAGATCCATCAACAATTCTACGCTCGAGCACAGCAGCGTGACACAGGTGTCCCTTCCACGTCTGTAGGAGAAGTCATTGGACAGCTGAGAGCGTCGCTCTTTCGAAATACTTTGATTTACTTCGATGAAACGTTCTCGAAGGTAGCATCCTTCTTCGTCCACCCTATGTGTAGCGAGATCCGAAGTCGCAGTATCTCTTCTCGCTTGTCAAGCAGATGGGAGGAAAGTGCCCCTATCCATAGATTGTGATGATTCTTAGAATCGCGGAAGCCTACACGCCCGATGTTACGCATGTTGTTTCTGCGGGAGTGGAAACGGAGCTACTCAAAAAGGTCAGGAAAATCACATGTTCTTATTGATAGCTCTGCTTAAATCCTCCCTGTAAGCTGGTTAGTGAGCAATGGATTATTGGGTGTTATTCGTTTGTGCAAAGAATCTCAGCGAAGCGATATCCTGTGCGAGGAATTGAACAGCTTCGCGAGCGACTCGAAAACCCACGAGCTTTTCAACAATTTGATCCAAAGGAAGAGGAGAAAAGCGTGAAAGGTAGCAAAGAAGCGGATCAAACGAAGCGCAATACAAAGCAAATGGCGGTCGATCCGGATCTGGAAGATGTCTTGGAGGAGATGAAGGAGAATGAAGAATCAGAGGAGATTGAGGAGGAGTTTTTTGATGATGATTTTGCATTCCCTGAGTTGGCATCACAACCACGATATAATAAACAACCACCCCAGCCCCAGGCTCGATCCGACCGCGATATATCCTTTAATAAACGAAACAGAGAGTGGGTTCTTTGCGAGGCGTTGTTAGTGTAGAGAAACAGAGGAAGAAAGAAGAGAAAGAAGGAAGCGATTGTTTTTAGATTTATAATTTTGATGCTTTCTTTGTTATTATTCACAACTCTTCTTGTTTATTGCTATGGAAATACTCTTCCTAACGAAGGACACACGCAAGACGTTGTTCCTTCTGAAGAAGTAGATCCTTTGGAAAACTATCCTATTGAATCTGTACAGCTGAGTATAGTACAGTTATTATATTTAGGTATTCGAAAGAGGACTCGTTAGCGAAGAGTTGGATAAGGAGAGTATTTTAAAGGAATCCTCATTGTTCTCTCGTGATCGCAGTGTAAAACGGAGCGGGGATATTCCTGTTCTTGGTTTTGTCACCCCATGGAACAACCGTACAATTCTCGAATATTCAATGTACCATCTAGATGGGTACGACATAGCAAAACTGTTCAAATCGAAGTTCACTCATATCAGTCCCTGCTGGTTGCAAATTCGCAGGTTTGGTTCGTGGTACATTTTTTCTGTGTAGAAATCAAGCAAAGCGTCTCTTTGTTGACGGTATTCACGATATTGATAAGGGGTGGATGGAAGAACTGCGCAGTGGCTGTGATGATCCATCCACTTGCTTAAAAATCGTCCCTCGCTTTGTGTGGGAGGCAGAAGGTTTCCATGAAGAGGATCTCCATGTTCTGGGCGAAATTATTACTTCGACTTTAGAAGAGTATTCGTTTGATGGGCTGATCCTTGAATTTGGATTCAGCAAGGACATGCTTTTCCTTTATAAGTTGATTCGGAATGCAATCGGAGCCGACAAGCAGCTTATTTTAGTAGCCCATCCTCAGGCAGGTAAATCATGTTTCTTGTGTTCCATGCAAAGTCTCTAAATTTACACACAACGAACTCAAAGCCCTTCATCAAGTCGTTGACTTTGTTCTTCTTATGACATATGATTACTCTCTAAGCAAAGGAAAAATCGGTCCCAACGCTCCTCTTTCCATATCCTCAAACTTACGACTTTCATAGCCCTTTTAACCACTTCGTGAAGCACACTTTCCGGGATTACTTAGCGCCTCTTTTGTCCTCTGAAAAGCAGCAAATCGCTCGTCAGCTCTTTTTAGGAATTCCATTCTATGGCTACGACGATCGAAATGCCATCATAGGGAGTCAATTTCTTACGATTTTGCAGGAGAACGAAGTGGAAATCCGCTTCCGCGAGAAAGAACGCGAGCATGAAGTGCAATACACCGATAAGCATGATAAACGTCATGTTGTGTTCTATCCTTCTCTTCGTTTCCTTGAGGATCGAATCATGTTAGCCAAGAAATTAAAGTGTGGAATTGGAATTTGGGAGTTAGGCCAAGGGTTGGATTACTTTATGGATCTTTTGTTCATTGTTTGTTCCTCACAAACAGTCCATCCAGCTCGTTTCAAGTACTCATTGATCTCGCTCAAAGGAATAATATCCGAGGACTTCAGCACCTCTTCACACGGCATAAATTGACACAACTCGCAACGAAACACACGACTGCAAGGCACCGTCGGACAATTCGCTTGCGCGTAGAGCGGCGTCGACTTATCTCGCTGAAACCACGTCTGTTTCTCTCGATGATACACCATATCGCGCGCGTAGAGCTCTGCGGCCGCGAGAAGCTACCTCAAACCGCATGGTTATTTCTACTTGATGGCGCGTGAGCGGAAGACAGTAAAAAATATACAGCAGCAAGTCCGTCTAGATGAGAGAAGAAACCCGGCCGGACCGAAAACGACTTGATATGAGCGGGCGTGATGGTGGGTTGTGGGAAAATGTAGGTGGAAGGAAGCACGTAGTTGTAGCTATCTACCGAGTTCGTGAAGTTGAAGATGTCGATGATCTGTTTGTACCTAGTTCGAAAGGCTGCTCGACTCGCTCACGGAGGGATTTTGGCTTCGAAGGCGTCCGGATGGTAATCGACTTCCGAGGGAGTCGCTCGCGCTGAAGAAGGGAACGAGCCTTGGCGGCTGCTAATCGAAAGGGAAGGAGGCTTCTAGTACTTGAGAGCTTGCGATGGATGACCCATGGGGTCCATTGCATCGGAATACATCCCGGAGCTTCGCTGGGGCACTAAATAAAGAATGGTGATTTGAATGTACTGTTTCGATTGGCTTGAGCCATGTAGTTGTACGCAGCCTCGTCCTACAGATGAAAACGGAAGGGAGTGGGGACATCTAGTTGATTCATTGCTCCTTTTCTATCTAGAGATAAATAAAAAAACAGAGAAAGGCTACCTGGCATGCCCATGTCGTTTTTAGGCATCGCTCGACCTATATCTCACCACTCATTTTTAGTAAAAACCCATTTCATTTCCTCTCATACCTTGGTAGCGTGGCATTCGCATTTGACTACTATCTACTTTTTCATTCAGAAGACAATCGAAAACTCGCCATTGTGGGGGTTCCATATCGCATTGCTATAAGATAATTCAAAAATACTAGTATGTACGAGGAACGCCTCGGCCTTGATAAGTTCCCTGTCCTTTGTCCACTACAATTAGTGTATTACATAAAATACCTACTATATTGCTGATATCCCATAGCGGGACCGTACTGCTCATATCTCATTTCAGACATTGTGATGTGATTCTCTTTTCTAGCCGAATATGTTTTACAACAAAGATCGTTTGCAAAAAGAAAAATGTAGAGGAAAAAGCGTAGGGCAAGCAGAATAATATTTAAATTTGGCTATCATCTTAGTTGAATGGAGGATGAATATCGCGATGATAAACATAGGAACGACGCAGCTCACGCGCTGTTTTCTGCTCAGGAGTACACGGAGCCGGGTTCTTTAGTGACAAATTGCATTTTTATATTCGGAAGTAATGATGGGGACTGTCCGGTTTGTATAAAGCCTTGCTTGCATCCATTATCAACAGAGGATCTCCAGCTATACTTTCATGTACCATACACTGACTAGTTGATTACTTTAGAATGAAGGGATTTTGGTTTTTGATTGGATAGACGATTCTTCTTGCATTATCGTTTGTAAAGATCCGCAAGTGGCCTGTTCCGTAGTTCAGGAGCATTTTTCGATGATATCGTAGGAAATTAACAAGGAGTGTAAATAGTAGAACGGATGAGAGTGGAGTTGAGTGGTATCAATCAAAGGAATCGGTTCCGAAAGTGACTAATAGTGATAAATATGGAGAAAAGGGAAAGTCCATCCGGATATATGCTCGAGTGTGTCTGACATCCGATATAGAAAGGAAAGAAAGTGGTAATGGAGTTCTGTTTTGATGTGTAGAGCTGAAAAAGGCCAAAATGATCAACAATATAATTAAGCGACGCCAAGAGCAAAAGAAGGCGAAGAAGCAACTTTCCAAAGCGCAGTCTAAATCCAAATCTAAATCCAAATCTAAGTCCAAATCTAAATCCAAGTCAAAGGCAAAGGCAAAATCAAAAACGAAAAACAAGAATAACAATCAAGAGTCAAATAGTAATTTGAATATGAAAACAGAGTCAAACGACATCAATAATGCAAGTCAAAACCAAGCTAACGAGTCTACTTTAGCTTCAACTCCCAATCCCTCCATTGCACCTTCTCCATAATCGATTGTTTGTTAACAAACTCCTCACTAAGAACTACACTTCTTCTCTAAATCCTCCTTCGAATTGATCGACAGCAGTACTGGGATCAGGCTTGCATCATTCACCGACTTCTCCACGAACTGCTTCAAGAAGCCCACTGAATAAAACGGTCGCTTCGACGTCTGCAGATTCCGATACATCTGCATAAGCTTCCCGTTTTGAGGGAATAAGTGAATGAGGTACGACACTCGCAGCAACAAAAGCTCGTGTGTCATGTCTCCCTTCTTGGCTTTCTTCTTTCTATGGATCATTTCGGTCGATCAAAACCTCACTTTTGCGCTTCGTTGGCCGGCTGGATCACGTTTGTACGAGGCTTCTTGGGGTCTGCAGACACAGCAATCGAAGGTCGTTTACGCGAAGCATCCAGACCCAGACCCATGCCCTGCTGTTGAGTTGGTTGCTGAGCAGGCTGTTGAGCAGGCTGTTGAGCAGGTTGCTGAGTCGGCTGCTGAGTCGGCTGCTGAGTCGGCTGCTGGTTTTGAGGCTGGGGCTGGAGCTGCATTTGGATCTGTTTGAGCTGCGTTTGCTGAGCCTGCTTGAACAAGGACTGCTGTTGAGTCTGCTGAACAGGCTGCTGGGTTTGCTGTTGAGCAGGCTGCTGAGCCAGTGACTTGAACAAAGACTGGGGCTGCTGGGTTTGTTGGGTTTGCTTGAACAAGGACTGCTGAGGTTGCTGCTGAGTTTGCTGCTGGGTCTGCTTGAATAAAGTTTGCTGAGCAGGTTGCTTGAACAAGGATTGGGGCTGCTGAGCTGGCTGCTGAGCTGGCTGCTGGGTTTGTTGTTGGACGGACTGCGTCTGAGGTTGCTGAGGTTGTTGAAGTGGTTGAGTCTGCTGAGTCTGTTGAGTCTGAGTTTGCTGCTGAGGCACCTTCTTGAACAAGGACTGGGGAGGTTGAACCTGGGCAGATTGAGCAGGCTGAGCAGGTTGAGCAGGTTGAGTAGGTTGAGTAGGCTGAGTAGGCTGAGTAGGCTGAGCAGATTGTGCCTGCGCCGATTTGAACAATGGCTGCTGCGTCTGCACCTGAGTTGGCTGCTGAGCAGGCTGCTGCTGGACTTGCGGCTGCTTAAACAAGGGCTTCTGGGCTGGAGTTGGCTGAACTCTCAGCTGAGGTTGCTGCGCCTGAGGTTGCTGCTGCTGTTGCTGTTGCTGCTGGACTTGCGGCTGCTTAAATACCGGTTGAGGGCGCGGCCGCTGGACTTGAGCTTGCGCCTGCTGCTGAGCTGGCTGAGCTGGCTGAGTTGGCTGCGCTCTCGCCTGAGCTTGAGCCTGCTGAATCCTCTGCTGCGCTTGCTCCTTTGCCTGTCTGGCCTGTTGCTGCGCCTGCTGCGCCTGCTGTCTCGCCTGCTGCGCCTGTTGCTGAGCTTGCTGCGCCTGCTGCTGCGCGGTCACCAGGTTTCCACGCAGCACTTCCATCTCCTGCTTCACCGCGAGCAGCTGCTTGCGCAGTTGCTCGTTGGCCGCGTTCGTCTGGACTTGCTGCGTCTGCTGCTGCTCCGTCTTCGCGTTGAGCGCGGCGAGCTTGGCCTGGTTCTCGTCCAGCTCCTTCCGCAGCGCATTATTGCTCTCCGTGTACACTTGCAACAGCCGATGGGACTCCGCTTCTCGCTGCAGCAGCTCCCGCATATCACCCAGGCTTCGCAGCTCCGCCAGCTCCTTCTCCGCCTGCGCACGCGCCTTTTCTTGGTCAGACAACTTCGTTTCCAGCTCCATCATCTGCCCCTCCAACGCCGAGCGGTTTCGTTTCTCCACCGACAGCGCGGAGCGCGCGATCTCGCAGTCGCGACGCAGCGACACAACCAGATTCCGAAGACTCGCAGGCGTGTCTTCGGCGAGCGAATCGGCCTGCAGCGAAGCGTTCTCGCGCTCTTGGCGAGTGAGCTACCGGTCAGTCCGCAGAACGAGCACTCACCTGCGATAACTGGCTGAACAACACGTCGTTCTGCTCCAGCACAGAGCTCAGCCGGAGCTCCTTCTCCGCGAGCAGTTCTCTCCACTTCTACGCCTCGCCTCCACGCAGCCTCACCTACTTTCTCGCTCTCTTCCTCCGCCTTCTCTCGCTCCGCCTTCTCCTTCGCCAGCGTCTCCATCTTCTCGCGCGTCTCCGCCAGCTCCGTCTGCACGCGCGTCGCTTCCTTCTCCTTCTCTCGCCACGCCTGCAGATCCTGCGAGTGCTTCAGCAGCTCTTCGCGGTAGTTCGCCTCCACCGTCTCCGCCGCCTGGCTCTGCGTCTGCAGCGACGACCGCAGCTCCTCGATCTCTCGCTTCTGCAGAGCGATCGTGTTCTCCTTCTCTGCCAATTCCGCCATTCGCTGCGCGGCCGTCTCGGACGACGTCGATTCCTCCTTGGCTTTGGCCTCCGCTGCCGCTTTCAGCTCCGCGATCGTCGCAGCAGACGTCGCAAGCTGCTGCCGCAGCGCGTTCATTTCCGATTCCTGCGCGGTTTTGAATCGTGTGAGCTCGTTCTCCATTTCCTGCGCGATCTGCTGGTATTCCGCCGTGTGCTGCGTCGCAGCCGCCAGCATCGCCTTCGATTCTTCCAGCTCCGCTTCGCGTTTGGTGAGCTGTCGCTCCATCTCGCGCAGTTCTTCCACGGACACCGTGAGCGAAGCGTCCGAACTCGCCGCCAACGCGCGAAGCTGCATCGTCACGCGCGATTCCAGCTCTTCGATTCGATGTTCCTGCTCGGACTGTCGTCGACCCTCCTCGGTTTTCTCCTTCTCCCTGCCCGTTACACCCCATCTCCTTCTCTACTTCTTCTCCAGCTGCGCTCGAAGCTCGCGGATCTCCGACTGATAGTTGCTCATCTGCTGCGAAAGCGTCTTCTCCTTCTCGAGCGACTACGCCTCATTTCCCCTCCACGTCCCTACCTCGTGCAATCGCGTGATCTGCACCGCCTGCAGCTCGTTCACCTGCTGCTCCGCCTCGCTCTTCTGCATCGACAGCCGCTTGTTCTCCACCTGCAGCGCCGCGATCTCGCTCGCGAAGCGCAGCTCCACGCCCTTCGCCGCCTGCTGCACCTCGTCCACCAGCAGCGACAGTCGCTCGCGCTCCTCCTTCCAGCCCTCCTGCACCTTCTGCAGCGACTCCACCTTTGCGCTGAGCTGGTTCGATCGCTCGGTGAGCTGCGCGTTGCACCCCGACAAATCGACCGTCTATCCGTTAAACCGCTCTTTCGACCGCACTTTCATTCGTTCTTGGTCGAGATCCTTCTGCTTTCCAGCCAGCGTGCTCTGCAGCGAGGTGTTTTCTTGCTCGAGCTTGCGGATTTGCAGCTGCATCGTGTCGAGCGAAGCCTGCAAGCGGCGCACCATTTCGTCTTTCTGCTCTCCGCACTGCTTCTCCACACGCAGCAGCTCCGTCGTGCGATTCAGCTGCTCTTCCGCGCTCTTCGCGGACTGCCGGAGCTCGGAGCACATCGCTTCGGAGCGTTCCAACTGCGAGCTCAGCTTCCTCTGCGTTTCCTCCATCTGCTGCTTCAGCTCCGAATGCGTCGACTGCTGCACGGACGGCGTTTCTCCGCTCGCCGCCTCCGCGTCCTTCTGCGACAGCAGCACGCGGTACATGTCTCGCTGCTTGGTGATCGTCGCCATCAGCGCTTCCTGCTCCTTCCGCAGCGCGTTGATCGACTCCACCTCCTTCTCCAGCTGCGCAATCTTCGCGTTCTCCTCCTGCGTGAGCGCCTGCGGCTCCGCACGCTCCACCTCCAGCCCGTGGATCTTCTCCAGCAATCGCTGGTTGGTCGCCTGCAGCTCCTCCATCGACGTGTACAGCTTCGCTCGGTCTTCTTCCGACCCCGCGTCGATCTGCTGCTTCAGCAGCGCGCGCAGCTGCTTCTGCAGATCCTCCGCCACGCGCTGCAGCTTCTCGTTCTGCTGCTCCTTCGTCTGGATCGACGCCTGCAGCGCCTCCAGCTTCCGCGTCTTCTCCTGGAGATCCGCGCAGGCGACCGAGTACATCTTCGTCAGTCGCTGCTGGCGCTGCACCATCTCCAAATACTCGGCTTGGCGCTGCTGCAGCTGCGGCGTTTTCTCCTCGACTTCTTTAAGAACGTGCTCGAGGTACATTTCGCACTCTTCTTTGCCCTTCTTCATCTTCGCGAAGTCTTCTTCCAACGCGACAAATCGCGTGTAGAGATCCACAATGCCCAGGTTCTTCTTCGCGAGGCTGGCCTCCAGAACGCTTCGACTCGTGTTCATTCGCTCCAGCAGAATGCCCGTCTCCTCCGCCAGCGACGGACGAAGACTCTTCGACTCCCTAAGCGATCGCTCCGACGCCTCCAGCTTTCGCTTCAGTTCTTCCTCGCGCGATGCGGCCGCGCTCTGGCTCTCCACAGCGCGCTTCAGCGACGTTCGCATCGTGTTCGTGACGGTCTGCAGAGACTCCAATTGGCCTTGAAGATCCTGGATCCGATCGTCCTTTCTACATCGAACCCCTCCCTCGTCTCTACAATTTCTGAAGACTGGTGTGTTCCTGAATCAGACTGCGCGTCTCGCTCTTCAGACTCTGCAGCGACGATTGCAGCTCCGAGTTTTCGCTCTTCGCTTGCGTAAACCGAGCATCCAGCGTGTCCTTCTCCGACAGCGCGGTGTCCAATTGGCGTGTGAGCGTCGACAGCTTGGCAGTCAGCGTTTGGACCTGGGTCTGCAGCTCTGCGACTTCGATCGCGTGGGAGGAAGATTCTTGCTGATTGGCTGCTTGTAGGGACGATAAGGAAGCGCGGAGCTGAGCGATTTGGGAAGTCTGCGAGTGAGAAAAGAGGGAGGAAGGAAAAGACGAGGCTTTCGTTCTGTTGGGATAACGAATCGATCTCGATTTTGGAGGAGGTGAGCGAGTTCTGCGATTGGCTGAGTTGGTTCGTGAGCTCCAGCTCGTGCTTGGAACTCTACGCACCATTACCATCCCTTGTAGAACACGGTACCTCTTCGAGCTTCGATGCATACGATTTCTGCTCTTCGAGCAAGCTGTCAAGTTTCTTTTGACGACTGTCGCATAGATCTTGAGAAAGCAACACCTCCTCTCGAAGCTTCTGCACTTCGAGTTTAAGCTGGGTGGTGGTCGTATCAATTCCGGAGTGATCTCTCTGAATTTGAAGCAACTCATCCTATCGCTTATTCACGAGAATCCACACCTACGCGTAGTGAAGCATTCTTTTCTCGCTCTCCTTCCATTTCGGCCTTCAAGCGATCCTTTTCTTCCACTTCCTCGTTCAAACTCTTCTGCATTTCGAAGAAACTATTCTCAAGGTCATGATAATTCTGTTCAAGGTTGATTAGCTCTATTCATCAACTAATTTCCCAACCGACACGTACCTGCACGCTTTCCTGCCTCCACAGAGGAACAACGCTCCTCCGTTGCTTTTATTTGTGATAATAGTTTGTCAATCAGAAGGCGTACTTCTGAATCCACTGCCTTGTATAGAACCTCTTCCTACAACAAAGATCAGACAAACCCTAGAACAAGCCTACACTCTCTGTTAGCATGTTTCTCGTTGCCGATAAGTGCAATATACAACCAAACAGGTGTGAATATAGGTTTTTAATGATGCTGTTTAAAGGACTTTTCAGGATTTTTATTTGAATCCAACTCTTTCGTTCTCAAAGTGTTAGTAGAAGGGCTAAAATCCGAATTAAAACTACTTTCTACGAAGTAACCTATTTGTCTACGCTATTTAAGATTCAACCAGCAGATCTGATTCTATGCCTAGATTGTATCGTTTCTAGCGAGAAAAGCCATGTTCCAATCAAAATCTCAAGACTAGAGTAAAATCTCTTATGTTGAGGCTATTCTAGATGCATAGTAATAATATTTGAGACTAACAGACAAAAGATCAAAATGGAAACTTCTCCATTTGCTCAGGAATTCCTTGTTACCTATCTTAATCTATAGCACACAAAAAGAGTAGGATAGATTGTAAACAAATGAAAGAAAAGTACCCTAATAATACAATGGTCGATAATAATCGGACTTTATACTTGAACAAAATACGGAGATGATAAATGACGGTACACTTTTTATTGATAATCAAGCCTATTCTTGTAGTTTCTTTTTGACGATTGCACAAAGCATCTTTATGATTAGACCAATATATAATATCCTACTCAATTTGTAACAGCGTGTATATTTGTAGCATGTCGCGTACAAGAAAGCAATATACTGTGTGTGAAGCTATTTCCCCCGATAAGGATCGTATCAAGGGAGTCGTGAAATGGTATGATGGTTATATGGTCGGTATTAAGTGCTACATATTATCGCTAGGGTTATGGCTTTATCTCTACACTGGATGAGACTCCAGTTGACTATTTTGTGCACAAGACTCAAATCTATTCTCTGGATAAATTCCCCAGAACCCCTATCCTGTTCAACAAGGAGGAGGTGGAATTTGCAGTCTGTGACACGGAAAAGGGAAAGGCCGCTGAAGAGGTTTCACTTCCCGATAAAACAATCATTCCTAAGTATGTATTCTCTTAACTATGTCACGTGTAGTGTGTGCTCATGTCCTTTATTTTACCTTTAGAGACCCTTGAAGAGACGCTTCTATCGTCGCAGAGCCGCCCCTGCCAATGGTGAGAAGAGCGAAGCCAAACCGCGCCGAAACAACCGCCGTCGCACCCCTAAAGCCGCCCCCGCTGCTAAGGCTCCTGCTACCGAAGCCGCCGAGGCCGCCGAGGCCGCCGCTCCTGCTGAGGCTGCGACGGAGGCCGCTGCTCCTGCCACTGAGGCTGCTCCTGCTGCTCCTGCTGCGACGGAGGCCGCTGCGCCGAGCGAAGCGTCGGAGCGTCCTCGCCGCAACGCGGGCAAGCGCCGCTTCTACAGATACAACAAGCGCAACAACCGAGCGCCCGCGAAGGAGCTGGAGGATCCGAACGCCCAGCCCGCGCAGTCTGCGGAGGAAGGCAAGGAGCCCGCGCAGGGCGAGCAGCAGCCGTTCAAGCCGAGGAAGCGCACCGCGCGTCGCAACTATAACCGCCGGAACGCTGCGAAGAACGCGGAGAAGCCGGCAGCGGAGAACGCGGAGAACGCGGAGAAGGCGAAGGAGGAGGAAGCTCCCGCGCCCGAGGAGAAGCCCGTGGAGAAGCCGGAGGAGAAGCCGGAGGAGAAGCCGGTGGAGACGGCGAGCGAGCCTGCGAAGGCGGAAGCCGCGGAGATGGTTGCTGCGCAATAAGAAGAAGTTGTTCACGGAGTGTTTGTGGGAACAAACAAGGAAAGGGCGCGAAAGCACCTGACGACGAAGATTCTCGAGCTTGTTGAGCTCCTCCAGCACCGGGAGGAAGTGCGAGAAGAGGCGATGCGCCTCGAAGGAAGATACGCCTTCGATGATCTGCAGTCGAATTCGAAACAGAGAAGGGTACATTGTAAAAGGGTCTTCGGACGAACTCATCGTATGTTTCCTGGTTGCGATTTTGCTGCACTGCGCTCGACACATAGTCGATGACTCTCCCTCGGAATTCGTTCAGACAGTTTTCGCGAACCTTAATGATCGCGTCAATGGTAGATCGCACTTCCTTCGCATCTTCGATATCGTCCTCGCAGTTTTCCAGCAACAGACGCGATATTTCGATGTAATGTTCAGGCAAGTCAGACAAACGCGACTCATTCGACAACTCCATCTCTTTGTCCTTTTCTAAAACCCTTTTTAAATAGCCTGCAATTCGAAAATACGAAAGCAAAGACCTACTCAGCCGCATCCAATCCGGCATAACGATTCTACATTTATTTTCTCTTTTTAACGTGATTGCCAACCATAACGGCACCTGAACGCGTTCCATCGATTCAAAAGGACCGAATTCTCCCTACAAATTCACCCCACCAAGCTAACCGTACGCAGATCAGACGGATTTTGCTCATGTTTATGTTAGAAATGATGTAAATCAAATCATCCTCAGCCTACAGCTCATATCTCCCGGTTGCGATCTACGAAGAATTCTAAGTCCTCCAAACTGATTTTCCCTAATGGTTTACTCATTTCTTGTCATTCCTCCAAAGTAGTTCTATTCAAAGGTACCGATCTAGAAGCTGAAACAGGAGCGTCAATGGTCTAATGGTTAGGATTCTACCCTTCCAAGGTAGAGGTCCGGGTTCAATTCCCGGTTGACGCATTTTTGTTTTTCTTTCTGTTTTTGCAGTTAGGAAACACTATTCTTAGTTATGACTACCTGTTTTACGAGTACTATTTTACCTCTTTATACAGTCACCCTGCTTAGGAGTGAAAAAGAGTTTCTAACAAATCATCTCCTTTTACGCCTTTCACACAAATCGATTTCTGTTGCATAACACATACTATCTAATTTCTAGTATCCTTCATCTCTGCTTGTTTGGGAAAAGAAAGCGTTATAATAGTTGTTATCTTTTATCATGGGCAGTTTCGGAAACCGCGGTTATTGTGTCTCTGTACATAGTAGCTTGTGTTTGTGTCTCGTCCGTTTTTCAAAATATATTGCAGCCCGAAACGGAAATGTTTCAAACGATTGCTGTTCTTGTTATATTATCCATTGTGAGTGCGAGTACGCCTTTTGTCGTTTCTTTGTTAGCGTAGATAGTTCTGTGACAATTACGGAGTTCAATCCCGCCAACGCTACAGTTGTTTCTGGAATCTCGTTCCCAGTTATTCTTACTTTTTCTGAGAATATCCAGATGGGAGAAGGCTCCATCATCTTTAGAAACGATTTTGGTGATATTGAGAAGGTTGCTTCTAACAGCACGGGGTTTGTCTTGGGTGAGAAGAACGTCACTGTGACCCCGGGTTTTGAGTTGATTTATGGCAGTTCCTATTCTATCTATTTTGAGGATACTCCTGTTTTGGATATGAGTGGAGAGCCGGTTTCACTTCTTGAAGGAGTTTATATGTTCACCATTGCCAGTACAGTTTTTGGAGTGGTTGCTGATGGGTAGAGAAGGATAACGGTCCTATGCTGATTGGAATCGGTATTGGTATGGGAATTATGCTGGTTCTCATCTTTGTCGCCTAGTAAATCGCGTTTTCTTCGTATTATTTGTAGTTTCATCCTTCGATGCTTAGTTAAGAGAAAGGAGGCGAAGGCCAAAGCGCTGGCCGAGACTCTCCCGACGACTGCGCAGGAAGCTGGTCAAAATTAAGTTTAGTCTTTTGCTTGTTTGTAAGAAATCATTCGAATGTGGAAGAACTGTTTGTTATTCGCAGTCACTCTGCTTCTACTAGGAGTGGGTACGATGCTTACGTGAGAAATCAGGGTGTAGTTGCTGAACAAGAGCAGATGTTCGAAGTGACCGTGGATAATAGCGAGCCGGACATTGTTGTGGAGGAAGGTGTTACTGGTGAAATTGAAGATGTGGAAATGGATATAGTGGACGAAATTATTGATTGCGGTATTTTTCGGTTTAAAAAATTGATATTTAGATGTGCTTTTCGAGAACGGGACATGTAAGGAGAACTTCAAGTGTTTTTCGGACGTTGGTGTTACCTGTAGTGATTTGAGGACTCTAAATTCGTACAAGAATGTGTTTAACTGTGTGCCATGTGTATTCTTCTTGACTGGTAGATTTTGAGCAATTCCTCAGTTGTGACACTTTGGATTGCATTCGTAGTAAAAAGAAGCTTCTCGAAGAACGTCTCCTCATTGGTGACCCGAACGCCCAATTCACCTATTACATCTTGTACCCTCTCTTTTTATAATGGTTGAATCGCAGCACAAAATACGGGTTCTTCGGTTTCCCCAAAGATATCTACCTCGCCACGACGCATCTTCATTTCTCCGCGGAATCGCACTCTGTCGCTGGTTCTCTCTCCCTCGCCACACGTCTTCAAACAGGAGACCGCCAGCCGGTCAATCTGACCCGCGCTCTCGAGATCGCCATTCCTGCCTGGCATTCGATCACTTCTCCGCACTCTTCGCTCTTCGACGCGCTCTACCTCCCTTCTGAAACCGATGTACGCTTTTTTTTCGGATTTTTGCTGATCCGAGTAGTGGCCGAAGGATTTAGTGGAGGAAGAATACGACGTTTCTGACTACGTCGACGTGCTTCGCTCCCAGCTTTCCCGCGAAAAATTCAGACAGATCAAACGCCGCGTCTACCTCAGCAGTACCCGCGGGGAACGCGTTCCATTGTAGAGAAATCGCGGGATTTGGGCGCGCTGCTCGATTTGTATCGGGACGTGGGGTTTGGGGGACATATTTTCAATTAGGTCCCAGAAGAGCAACACGTATTAGGGTACATGTATCTGGAAGGACTGGAGGTTCCGCGGGACTACGCCAAAGCGATGTACTACTTCAGCAATGCATCAAATCCGCTGTTCAATTCGTCCAATCACGTGTTTGGCCGCGGGATTTTGCACTTTTACGGGTTGGGCGTGCCGCGAAACGAATCTCTCGGCTGCCAATTCTTTGAGGAGGCGTCGCGCATTACCGCGGGGAAGGGAGTTTTTTCGTATTCCATAATTCGGGACTATTTTGAAGGTATTATTTGGGACTCTGCGCGTTGAAACGCCGCGATTTTCTGCGCGCACGTGACCATTTTACCGCGGGAATTTTCCAAGAGAAGTTCGCTCCGTCGATCGATGCGGTAGGTGGAAACCGTGGAAACCGAGAAATAGTTACTCCGAATGGACGAGTTGAATTTGGGGATGAAAAAAACCGCGGGGCCGCGGAGTCTCTTCGCGCCGATCATTCTGAACAAGATCCGCGATTATTTCCTCCCGCTCACCGACGTAACGCTTCGAATCGAATTCCACGGTAGGAGATTCGCCGCGGGAATGCGGAGGCGTCGGCGGACCGGGCGTTACTCTACGCGACGGTTTCGTTCGACTTCAATCTTCCGTACTGGGCGACGCATTTGATGGACATCTTCGAGAAACGCATCGACAAGGGCGTTTCCACACGATTTTTGTTTGCAGAGACCGATGAAACGCCCGAACAGGCGACCGGGAAAATGGCCGGTGAAACGCCCAGTGAAACGCTGGATGAAACTCCCGTGGAACCTAATGGGGAAACTCCTCATAAAACTCCCAGTGAAACTCCTCATAAAACTCCCAATGAAACTCCCAGTGAAACTCCCAGTGAAACTCCCGATAAAACTCCCCGCGGGAAGGCGGGTGAGAACGCGTTGTACCGCGGTTTTATGGAGTATATGTTGGCGATCGCTCCGGGAAACGCCCACGCGGTGGATTTGGCGTTACATTATCTGGAGGGAACCCGCGGTTTTGAGGCGGATCCGGCGCGGGCGAAGGAAATGCTGCGGGAATCCACCGCGGGACTGGCGCGGTTTTATCTGGGCGTGATGAGTCAGAGCGAAGAATTGGGCGGCGAAGACGTGGAAGCCGCCAAAATGAACTTCGACGCCGCTTGTAGGGATAACCGCGGGGATGTGAATTAGTGGAAATGGATGTCAATGCGATTCCGTCGTTGTATTATCGGCTGAAACTCCTGGTAGGGGAAACGTGGAAACGTGGTAACGAAAAGGGGAAATGCGTTTGGCGGCAACTTCGCAGAGGGGAGTGGGCCCACGCTTTTGACATCGTGAAGAAGGCGTTGGTGCTGGATTTGTATGATATCGTGTTTGATGAGGACTGTACGGTGATGTAGGAGAGGAGGAGAGCGCGTGAAGCGTAGAACGGAGATCGAGAATCATCTGAATGTGGAGACGATGTTGGAGTTTTTGAAGGAGACGACGGGGAATGAAGAGGGGTATGAGGAAGTGATCAAGATATTTAAGCAGATGCGGAAGAATCGGGAGAAGGAGCATGAAGAAAACGAAAAAGAAAAATAAAATGAGAGTTGTTGTTGTTGTATTCTTTGTCTTTCTGTTTGTTTGAGATGCGTGCGAAGATACCGGTGGTAGGAGTACGTAGAGATCTTCACAGTAGGAAGGAAAAGGGGTGAAGCTGGTCAACTTTGAATTGGAACATGTACCAGTGTATGAAGAATGGTACAAGGACAAGGAATTGCTGCGTAGGATGCATGGGGAGTGTGTCAATGGGATAGGACTCACTGCCACGGAAGAGATGGATCACGAGTCGCTCGTAACAAGTCAGGCGATGTACGCGTATGATGATGACAGTAAAGGTATTCATAGGGCATAAAGACTAGAAATCGCCTTTCTTGTTGTTGTGAAGGATGAGGAAGGAAAGGATAGTATTTTTTGTTTGTATAGAGATGATTGGGTTAGAAATTATCGGGGACTGCACCTTGTTTATGGACATTGTGGATGATCGTCTTGTCTCGCAAGTATTTTGAGGTATAGGCGATATGGGTGAATTCAACGTGATGATTGCCGACAAGGCGTATCGTCGCAAGGGGTATGCGAGTACAGCGGTGATTTTGGCGATGATGTGGGCAAGTCGCTACATGAAGCTCAAAGAATTTTTCGTGAAGATCGACAAGGAGAATCTGCCTTCGATCAAGATGTTCGAGAAGCTGGGTTTCAAGTTCTACCACTACAATCGGCACTTCCACGAGAATGAATATCGCCTTCAAATCGACAATTCGCTCGCGAAGAAGTGGATCCAAGAGATCGGTCTTCCCATCCGAATGTATCCTTGTTTCTTTGAACAAACAATGTTACAAACAAGAAGAAGAAGAAGAAGAAGTAGAGTTTATTGTTTTCATCTTTTAAAATAATCATTCAATTCATTTCAATTCATTTCAATTCATTTCAATTCATTGATTCATTGATTCAAATCTCTTTTCGATTCACCACCGTCTCCGTCAACGCCGCCAGCAGCCGATAATTCTCCTGCACGCTCCGCGTGTAGTACTGCGCCTTCGACGGCTTCGCGCCCACCGTGCAAGTCACCACCTTCGGCTCCGTCTCCGCGTCCGTCGCATGGAAGAAATTCTGCACATCGCTACGCCTCACTCCTCTCTTTCCATCTCTACGCGAACATCGGCTCGTCCACCGCGCTGTCCCCCATACACAGCACGAAGTCCGGCGCTCCGTTCCGCGCTTTGAACTCCTCCAGCAGCGTCTTCACGATCACGCCGCGCGTCCCCAGGAACGATCGCACCTCCACCACGCCGACATCATGCACGATCTTCACCGACACGCCCGCCAGCAGCGTCTGCAGCTCCTGCACCAGCTTCTCGGCCATCAGCTTCCCCAGATCGGGATCACAGTACTGGTAATGGAACCGAATCACATAATCGTCGTGGTAGATCGTGCTCCCGTTCGTCTGGAACTGATAGTCGCGGCACAGCGCCAAAATTTCCTTGCTGAACGGCAGCACTTTCTTCCGATACTCCGGCGACGGCTCCCACTCGCTTTCCCGCGGCTATTCCTCACCCTTTTTTCCCCGTTTCCCTACTCGTCGCACCTTCAGCCCGTTCACCGCGATTAACCCGAGGTTCCGGAACGCGCCGAGCGTCTTCTCCATCCCCATGCTCCCGATGCTGCTGATCACCCACACCTCGTTCGCCCGGTCGTAGCACAGTCGCTGCAGCACGTCGCTCATCGCGCGGCTCGGCGGCCGCTGCAGCACGCCGCGGAAGTCGTCCTTCAGATCGCGGTTAAAGCCTTCCTTCGCCTGCAGCGTCCCTCCATAGTCCAGAATGAAGAACCGCCGCCGCGCCGCGCGGTACGCCGCCGCCACATCCGCGATCTACCGGTCATTCCCGCGGGGAGGACGCACGCTGAGCGGGAGGAGGAGCGAATTGGCGTCGTCCGCGCTGAGCAGTCCGTCGCCGGGGTCGCGGGAGGTCTGCATGGACTCCTCGCTGAGAGTGTCGTCGAGATTCTGCAGCACGAGACGCAGCCAGACCTTCTGCTCGCGCTTCTGAATGCTCTCCAAATCGCGGTTCTGCCGGAGTTTCACCTCGTCCTTCCCCATTTCCACCGCGGTCTCGAGCTGCTGCGCGATGCTCTCTACGTCCCACGGGTTCACCGGCAGCGCGCCGTTCAGAAACTCGTGCGCACTGGCGAACTCGGAGACGACCAGCACGCCGCCCTCCTGCGCGCGCGCCAGCAAATACTCCTGCGGATGCGGGTTCAATCCCTGCGCGAAGGCCGTGTTGAGGTACAGATCGGCCGCCTTCCAGAGCGCCAGACGCTTCTGCACCGGATAGAACGACCCTGTGAGCAGCTGCAGCGCTACAGAGTCGGGGAACTCCGCGTTGCACGCCGCCGCTTCCTCGCGCAGCTGCGACTCGTAGCTCTTCTGCCGCGCGCCGCCCGCCTGGATGCTGCGCGGGCGGAAGCAGACCTGCACCAGCACCACGCGGCGACGCAGGTCCGGGTTGTCTCGGAGGAACTCGCGGAAGCCCTGGAGCTTGAGGAGAATGCCGTTGATCGGGTCCAGCTCGTCGACCGCCGCGATGATCCGACGGTCCCCGTAGAGCGCGCGGATCCCCGCGGTGGACTCCAGGACGTCGGAGGAGTTCAGAAGCGGGGTGAGGTACTACGTGAGAAAGTGGAAACGTGGAAACGGCCGTGTCGAGCCCGACGTGGGAGATGTAGACGCAGACGCTGCGCGATCCCCACTGGAGACAGATGTTGCTGTTGCGCTGGACGCGCTGGGTAATGCCGAGGTGGCGGCAGCAGGAGCTGATGAGGTGGCGCGCGGAGCTGTAGGTGTGCGTGCCGATGAGATCGGCGGCGAGAACGCCGCGCAGAATGGACGTGCGGAGCGGGAGCTGGCGGAAGACTTCGTAGGAAGGGAACGGCAGATGCAGGAAGAAAATAATGCGGATCGCCTGCTTCGACGCGGGCTCTTCTTCCTCCATCTCCAGCGACTCATCGCTCTACTCCTCACTTCTCTTTTTCTCTCTCTCACGCCCTCGAAGTCCACGATCGGGTCCTGCGAGCTCAGCGCGTACAGCTCCTTCGCTTCACCCTTCTGCTCGCCAATCGCCTACCAGCATTTTCTCATCGTCCAAATCGTCGTCCAAATTATCCACGAATTCCGGTCCCGCGGAAAACAGACGCTCTTCGTCCTGAACCGCCTCCACCGAGCCCTCCCGCGACAGAACGCTCCCCCGCGGGGACGCGGACGCATTCTCGTCCCGCGGGGAATACAGCGACGCCGACGACGCCGCCAGATTCCCGGGAATGTACATGTTTACGCGGGAATCCGAGCAGGGAATCGACGTCCGCGCCCTACCCTCGATCCCCGCGGGAGCGCCTACCTCCGATTCCGCGTGGCGAGATAGAGCCGCAAGTCCCGCGGGAGGAGGAGTAGCTGATATCCGTTGATCCAAATAACGGGCCTATTTTTAGCATTCCAGAAATCGGGGGTACTGCGAATCGAGGACGTGGAGAATCTCGCAGTAGCGCAGAATCTCCTGAGCGAAGAGATTGTTGACGCGGCGATAGGCGTTCTGGTAGCTGACGGTGAGGAGCGTGTTCTTCTGGTAGGAGAAGGAGCTCTCGGCGTCGTCGTAGACCATGGTGCAGCCGTGGAGCATCGGCGAGAGAATGCTCTTGCAGTAGCCGTTGTAGTAGAGCTGGTTCAGCTCGCTGTCGATGAAGATCGGCAGGCAGCGCATCGCGAAGAGCTTCTGCAGGTGAGAGAAAAAGAAGAAGAAAAAGAGCTACCTCGCGGAGTTTTTTCGTGTCGGAAGCGGAGTATTGGTCGTTCTGGGAGAAGAGGTCGGTGGTGCGGAGGAAGGTCAGCGAGCCGCACCACCACACCGTGTAGTCCTTCTCGATGTTTTGGTCGGAGAACAGGTACATGCTCTAATGGCTTCACGCAGAGACCCAGCCGGGTACTTCGTAATCCCAGGTGATGTCGAAATCGCCGTCGTCCGTGCGCGTGATGATCACCGGGAGGCGGTAGCTTCGATTAGAGCGGAATTGGAATTTTACGCGACGTTGATGAGGCATTTCTTGGGAGCGGGGGCGGGAGAGGTCGGAACCGTTTTGGAGCTCGGGAGATTGGGACAGGAACTGGACGGAAAGATTCTAGATCGATTGGAGGAAAACAGGGATACTTTAATGGAATGGGGTTGGAGCTGGAGGCTCGGCGAATCTCCGAAAGATTCACGTTTTGATCGTCCTTGTTCGTGTAGTAGTTGTACGTGTCTTCGATTAACATAGTCCTGTGCTGCAACGTTACAAAAAGCATGGAACATTATCCTACAGACGCTGTGTGCAATGTATGGGAGTTCTCGCGAGGTGTTTCCCATGCTTCAAAGACACCTCCACAAAAGCGAAGATACCTGCATCAGAGTGGATACATCGCTGTCCCTACTTGTAGGAGATCTTGATATCCTTCGGTAATTTGATGGGCTGCGATTTCCAGACAGGGTACCTAGCTTTGAACCCAAACAATTTCTCTTTACTCTTCTGGGGATGTGTATAGAGGTATTGAATTTATCGGAGAAAAGTATCCAAGTTGAGCTACTGATCCAGAAACACGAATTGTGACTCCGTGTGGTACTTCTGCCCGCACTCGAAATGTGACTTCAACCTGATTCCTAAAAAGTGAAGACATCATAGAAGAAATAAGGGAAAAACTATCTGTTGTTTCCACTTTCTCTCTAGTTCGCACTCTTTTCGAACTTTCGCGCTTGAAGGATGCTCGTATACTCCAGATCCAATCCGCTATGATAGACAGAAAAAAGGAGATGAAACAAAAACCCGAATTCTTTCATTCTAGGCATTATTTCGCGCATTTTAGAGCGAAATAGTACATCATATTCCATTTATTCCCTGTAATGGAGCAAGAACCTGCAGTACATCCGTCTTCGGAAATCAACAACCAGGCTCTTGCAAAATCTGCAATGGAAACGGAAGCAAACAAAGGGTTTCGACTCCGATTGAGTCGAACGCTTTCTGTAGGACTGTGATTCATATCTTTAATTGGATAGTCATTTAAAGGGCCCATTTCGTGCGTGCGCTATGCACCCAATGGATCTCTCCTTGCTGTATCTTGTTTAGATCGATTAATCGTTTTACGCTATAGCAGCAGACCGTTCGATCAGCATTTTTGAGACAGCAAACTATTCACTCAAGTTTATCCTCGAAGGGCACGAAAAAGGAGTCAACTATATCGCTTGGTCTCCCGATTCAAAGTATCTCGCGAGCTGTTCCGATGACAAGACAGCTCGTATTTGGAACTCCGAAACCGTGGATCTGTGTGCTATTTTTAACGAACAGGGTTCTCTCGTGCGAATTTTCAACACATTTTCTCAGTTTCCAACATGCATCGCTTATAATCCTCGTGGAACGATAATCGCATGCAGTTGCAGCGACGAAACGATCTACTTCTTCTCCGTCTACACGCGCAACCTCGAAAAATCTATCTTTGCTCATTCCAACACAATCTCCAGCATCGAGTTCAATGCGAGCGGTTCTGAGCTTCTTAGCAGTTCTATCGACGGTTTTAGGTTTTCTAAGCTGTTTTCAGTTTACTCTTTTTAGTCGCATTTGGGATTGTGAAAGTGGCGATTGTCTGCAATCCATTCGTTCCTCCACCTCCAATTCCCCCATGTATCTCCAGTTTCCACGTTTCCACATAGCCTGAGCGCACACTACTCTGCGAACAATCAGTACGTTCTTCTTTCCATCGCGAATCATGGTCTCTGCGTTTGGTGTCTCGAACACAATCAAATCGAGCGGGTTTATCGCGTATTCGATCGAATTCCTTTCAATTCCAGGGCGCGCACGAAGTCGCGCGGTATCTCTGCAACGCACAGTTCGCTCCGCAGAGTCCTCCGTTTGTTTGTAGCGGATCGGGTGTGATATTGAAGGGATTGGTGAGCAGTAGAGAACGGATGTGTGGTGGTGTATGATTTGAATTCGGGGGAGGCGACGAGTTTGGAGCTTTGTAAGGACGATGTGATTCTTTCGGTGGATATTTGTGGGAAAAAAATCGCGGCAGGATCCATGGGGAATCGAAATGAGCTGTTTATTGTTGAGATATTGTGGATGTGTTTGTTGTAAACAGTTGGATGAAACAGCACAGTAAAGGGATAGCAATCGATAGATGAAGAAAGAGGCTACCTTTGATATGGGGATACAAAGTAGTTCTGGAATGAGAAGTATCTCCAGCTACACTTCTGTAGCATCAAAATGGCTTTCTGAATAATAATAATAGATGGGAATAAGTAGTATCCTATCATACTGATTTCTAAGCATCTTCTTATTGATGAACAAGATAGAAGTCAATAAGGATGGACACGATGTCATTGATAATATATGTTAGTTTTGAAGTTGTGAGAATTAGCGGTAGTCATAACTTGACTTAATGATCAAATAGCTCTAAGTCTTTTTTTGAAATATTGAAGTTTTATTAATACATTATGAATCTACTCTAATTCCTTAATGAAAAGTGTGATGGTAAAGCAGTATTGAATGGTGGCTGGAATGATAAACATACAATATCATTTATTGTATTACAGAAAGTTTTGATATAGAGAATTCTTTGCAATTATGATATCAATATTCAAAAAGAATATTCAATTCATTCTTTATTCTAGAGAATGTATTATAGAACAAAAATGGGGGAAGAACCCAATAAAGTGTGTCAACTCTGGATATAGTATATGACTGAAGATTCAAGAAATACTTTATAGTACTATTATTCCACTCACGGTATAAATACATCAGTAGTAGGGGATTGACGGGAGCCGCGCGGTCCCCCAAAGTCACCCCTCCGACCCCATCTTCAAGTGCGCGAGTGTTGTGACATAATAGGGGAAATCCCCCAAAGTTGCCCCTCAGACTCCCTCAACTTGTACCTTGATTTTTGCCCTCTGAACTGTTTTCAGCCGACTTTGGAAATCGTGGTCGGCTGTGGTGGCCATGGTTGTCATTGCTGTCCATGGAATAACGCGCGCGGAAACTGATGGCTGCCCTTTTCTCTATGGTAAAGAGAGAAAGACCATGCACTACTCCATGCTTATTCAAGGCTCACTCACCAACGGCTCATTCACCTGGATCAACCCGTACAAGTACAAGAATCCTTACATCACTTCTATGACTGTCCTGTTTCATCCTAATGGTTCGATGTTTAATAACGTAGACACGACGAACATTGTCACGAATTCGAATGACGAGACTGTGACGATCCCTGCTGGTTATTACACGATCAGTGAGATCATTGCCTTGCTCAATACCATGACCGATACTACATTCTCCATATCCACGAATGCCTCGTCGTTCGGTTGTATCTGGATTCAGTCTCCACACACCATTGACTTCACAGATGCACCTGACATTCGTGAGATCCTCGGCTTCGATGGACGAACGGTCATTCTACCTGCTTCGTTCAGTGGATCGAACGTGATTGATATCACGCGAAATCGACAAGTGATTCAGGTCTACTCGACGATCGTGCGATCATCGGACCTGAAGATTGCCAACCAGAACAACAACCTGCTCACCACGATGATCATTGACGATCCAACGGCTGACTACGTGCGAACTGTGGAAGACGTGTGCATTCCAATGATCACTCGGTTTGATCAATTGATGTTCGTGTTCCGCGATATGGATGGCAAGATGATGCGACTGAACGGCGAATTCGAACTCCAGTTGACGATTGAGGACGTGATGGAGGAAGTGCCATCATCGATTGCCTCTGCAAACCAGTTCAGTATGATTGAAGTGTTCGGTAATACCACCAAGAAGGAAGTGAAGCTGGACAATCCTCTCTCGTTCGACCGTTATTGTGCTACATCTCGTCTGTGTCGTTGTATACGGACTTCGTGTTGCACAACGTGCCGACTGATCAAATGGTGCTAATCAATGCTGGCGCTACGATTCAAGAGATCGCGATACCACGCGGTGCATATGACATCGAAACGATCATTGCAAAGCTGAATGCAAGTGATGCCCTGTTCGAATTGGTGTATAGCGGTGAGAATGCGTTCCACATCACGGTAGATCACTTCTACATGATCGATTTCACGAATGCACCAGAGATCCAATCGATCCTTGGTTTCGAATCGGACATCTTGGTGAAAGGAGTGGATAACCCGAAGCGCTACTACATGTCTTCCTCGTGTAATCACGTGGTTGTTACTGACAGCAGGGAATCGCACATGTTGACATTGCCTGTCGGTTACTACACGTTCTCCGAGTTCATCGAGGCTGTCGGTGCTGAGATGGTGAAAGTGCTTCCACTCACATCCATGACGATCGAGGATGATCATGTTCGCTTCAATGTCCAAGCAGACGGATGGTATTTCAATCGATCCAGCGTTGACACGACGATCGATGGTTTTGGTTGGACTCCATGGTTCAAGCTGTCTCCATCTGTGCAGAACCTGTGCATCGAACGACCAGTGGAAGCTTCGTTCAACCCTGAAAGCGATTCCCCACCTGATATGACGAATGATCAAGGTATTGGAGGTCATGCGTACATAGGATCAAACACCTTTATTGCATATGACTGGAAAATGCGTACGAATGATAATCGGTTCCTGCTAAAGCCTATCGCGACATACACGATGCGTTTAGGTGATGGTTCAGTACTCGATAGTGGTGAATTCTACATAACGGACGATACGTCTACCCCGATCAAGATGAGTACTCTTACAACCACATGTTTTAATGAGCTCAATGCTCGATATGCGAGTGCTATGGAACTACCTCCATCTCACCAGAATGCGATTGCGTGGACGGTGAATGACAATAGAGAAAGCATGCCATGGACTGCGAAGGACTATGCACCAGAATTGGAATTGCATATTACATCGGAAAATACAGGTGACTTGGTGTCATCGAATGGTTCTTCGATCGGACCTTGGTATTCCAAGGATAGTATATATCACACGAGAGTGTTTATCGATACGACGAATTTTATACTTGGAATACGTGGATATGGCGAAAGACCTCTCACAATCCAACGAGGTCATTATAGCGCTATTGATATCGTGAATATGATCGCTAATGTGATCAATAAGATATATGTAGATGCGTCTCTCGGAGGGTACTTGGTATATGTCATTGCAGATAATGGTGGTCGAGTACGAATGGGATGTCGAAATGGTACAGAACCACGATTCATATTGTTTTGTGATAATCCATGTTTCAAGATTATACCCGGACCATACGCTGAACCAGGTGGTGTGTATTTGTCTTGTTATTTCGAGTTTTATCGCAATTACTACATCAGGATGTCCGAGTTGACATCACCTTACGAGTTTGCGATGGCGAACATCGATGGACTGAATGTGACGAATATGATCAAAGGTAGTACGTATTCCGATCGTGCTGTGTCGATCGAATTCATACAACCGACACGTGTTACGTATGTGGGGAATGATGAAGTTGTTGTTCCATCATTGAATACCTTCGTTGACTGGGAACAATCTGAGTCGTACACGGCTAACACGACGATTCGCTTCCCGTACGGAATGATGACACTAGACGATAGTGCTGCTGAGACTGATATCACTTACACGGATGACATTCAGACATTCACGTGGACCATACCATCACGGTTGACACAGGCTGACATGATATGGCATATGAACCAGTGTTTTGACTCGGCTGCACTGAACATACGATGGAAAGCTGAGTCAGATGGGTACTACATTCACGCAGACCACGTGTTCTCGTTGAGTGGCAACCTGGGAACCATAGTTCCCGCTTCAGGATCGCAATCGCATACATGGCGTATCCCTTTCGACGATGGTGTGTACTATGCCAACTATGGTCTAATGGTTGCCGAGTATCCTGTCGATATCACGAACGGTCTATCGAACATACAGCTGTATTGCAACATCGTGAAAAGCAAGACGATACCACTGCTTGTGAATGTCCCAATGGACAGCTTGTACAAGAACTACTTCTACAAGAACCGCATGTTGGTACCATGTTCTGAATTGCTTGATCGCATCGTGTACGAATTGAAGGACGAAAATGGTGACCCGCTATCGTTCATTGGGAACGTGTACCTGCTAATCGGCTTTACTGTGATAGATAAATGAATCTAGTATTCAACATTGCTCGAACGTACGAACATGAATTCACGAGTAACAATCTCATCAAAAGCGACATGGTAATCGATCGGATATCGATGAAGGGAGAATCGCCTGGCACCTGTCTTGTCCTTGATCGAGTGAACAACATGCAAGAACGACGACAGTCTCCGTTGGTTATATTGAACGAGGAGTACACGGAGAATGCACACATGAACGTCGTGGTACCCAAAAGTCGCAAATGGTCATTCTCGTTGACCGATAAGACCGGTGCAACGATTGCCTTACCAATGCCGATTACTGTGTGCATTCACTTCCATGTTCTCCAAAGTAAATGAGTCATAATCGTGCACTACCGATAAGTGTGATTAACTACAATACAGTAATTCCGAAGAACAACGAACGATACCATGAAACGTTCAACACAGTGATCATGCCTCGTGACCTTGTGTACAAGATCACTTCGATTACATGCAAGATCGATACAACGTCTCTCTGGAACATTCGTGCAATGAATGTGGTGAAGGTTCAAATGCTGTCAGGGTTTGAAATGGTCTACAACGTCGGTCCTGGCTACTACTCGATTACCGAGTTA